CAAACTGCATTCTACTTCTTGTCTCTCCATCATGAGTGGAATAAGATGGTATCCTTGTCTTTTTGTCACTGGCTGACTTCACTTGGCACAAAGTCATCCATGCCGTCCCTTCAGCCTTTCCCCCCGAATGATAGTTCTGTTGTAAACAGATACCATGATTGGCCTATCCATTCATCTGTTGGCTGACACCTAGGTGGTTGTACCTCTTGGCTCTTGTGAATCATGCTGCTATGAACAGGGCTGTATCAATATGCCCTTCCAGACCCCACTTTCAATTCTTTTGTGTTATATATATTCAGAAGTGGACATGCTGGGTCATATGCTAATTCTATTTTTAATTTTTTGAGGAACCACCAAAGTGTTTTCCACAGCAGCTGCATCGTTTTACGTTCCCACCAACAGGGCACAAGGGTTCCAGTTTCTCCAGGTCCTCAGTGACACTTGTTAATTTTTGAATTTTTGCTGCTGCTGCTAAGTCGCTTCAGTCATATCCAACTCTGTGAGACCCCATAGACGGCAGCCCACCAGGCTCCCCTGTCCCTGGGATTCTCCAGGCAAGAACACTGGAGTGGGTTGCCATTACCTTCTCCAATGCATGAAAGTGAAAAGTGAAAGTAAAGACGCTTAGTCGTGCCCGACTCTTAGCGACCCCATGGACTGCAGCCTACCAGGCTCCTCTGTCCATGGGATTTTCCAGGCAAGAGTACTGGAGTGGGTTGCCATTGCCTTCTCCATGAAGTTTTGCTAGTCACCTTTTAATAGGAGTGAGGCAGCATCTGTGGTTTCAATAGCATTACCCTAATGATTGGTGGTGGTGATCATCTTTTCGTGTGCTTATGGCCATTTGTATGTTGTGTTGGGACAAATACCTACTCCATTCCTTTGCCATGATTTCATTTCATCAGCTTGAGCTTAAATGTACATAGTCACGCATGGCTAGTCATGCATGGCTAAGTGGATACTATTTTGAACTGCACAGGACAATTTGCCTCTGAACTCACACAGCTGGGTTATTCCGCAGTTAATCATGTCACCTCTACATATTTTATGATGTATTTCTGAAAGGTAAGGACTCTAAAGAAAAAAAAAAAAGAATACAATGCCATTGTTACACACCTAGAATCCATTCTTTCTTTCTTTTCTTTCCTTCCTTCGCTGGGTCTTCGTTGCTGCCGGGGGCTATTCTCTAGTTGGGATGTGTGGGCTTCTCATTGCAGTAGCTTCTCTTGTGGCGGAGCACGGGCTCTCGAGAAAGCTTCAGTAGTTGCAGCTCGAGGTCTCTAGAGCCCAGGCTCAGTAGTCGCAGGGTTATGCTGGGTTTTCGTGGATAGGGGATCGAACCCGCGTCTCCCGCATTGGCCGGCGGGTTCTTTACTGCTGAGCCACCAGGGAAGCCCTGAGCTGTGAACTTTTAAACCCCCACATAACTGGCTCTGCATCGCAGTGTAGGATCTGTCCTCTCCCTGGAAAGCCCCCCTCACCCACTGCGCAGCTGTCGCCGCCAGAATGAAAACGCAGGGATGACAGAGTCTCATAGCCTGGCGCCTCCCGCTGGACATGCACCCGCACATCCCACTTGGAGAGCTCCATTCGGGAAACACCCGCCTCCTGGCTCTCCTTCTGGTCCGAGGTTTACAGAACTTGGGCCGCACCCAAAACTCGGGGCAGGGAGGAGGGGTGGGGGGGGGACCCACGTGGAGCTGGCAGCTCTCATGAAGCCGCTGCGGGTGCTTGGGATTTCTTCCGGGCCAGGGCAGTGCCCCTGGAGCCTGGATGGGCCAGGACTCCATGTTTCTGTGACAGAGGCCTTGTAGACCTTTCCGGGGGCCTGGGGCTCTCAAAAGGAGCAGCAGCTCCCGTCCCTCCTCTCTCCCTTATCCACTCGCCCTTATCGTGTCTTTGGATCTGAGCTATCCCAGGCATTCACAAAATGCTAACAAAGGCCTGTCACTCAGCTCTGTCTTATCTTGACGCTGTGGCCCTGTTTGCTTCACATTTTGAAGAGAAACAGCAGGATGAGAGGGCCGTCTGTGGGATTGTGGTTAAGGGCGGGGACTCTGCAGTCAGCCTGCTTTGGCTCAGATCCCAGCCTGGCCACTGACCACTGGAGGCATCTGGGGGGGTGGCGTATGGCTCACCATTTGGAGCCTCGCCATCCTCATCTGCAGAATGGGGCTACACAGAGCACCCGCCTCTTAGGGATGCAAGGTTGGTGACACAGGCGAAACACGCAGAGTACTTAAAACCAGCAGCTGTCATCACCGTCATCACGTCAGGTCAACGCTCGGTGTTTGTGGATTCCGTATTTGTGAGTCCGCCCACCCGCTGACATCAATAACCCTCAGATCGGTGTGGGGCTTTCCCAGTCACGTGCAGAGTCTTGAAGTGTTTGAGTCTGCCAGTGCACACCCCCAGCGGAGGTGGAACACAGTGACCCTCTGCCTTCTCAGTTCAGCTGTCAACAAGCATCCTCCATAGGGCCCTGTGGTTTGCTCTTCTGTGCTTTTTGTGAGTGGTTTTGCTGTGAAACACGGCCCCTCCCGCACAGAGGTGGAAGGCCACCCAGTGCTCGTAAGCCCAGGAAGGCTGCAGTGAGCTCTATGGAGAAAGCACGTGTGGGAGATGAACCTGAGTTACAGCGCTGTTGGCCACAAGCTCAGTGTGAGCGAATCGCCAATATATATTCAACAAGGTGTCTTTAAACAGAAACACACATAAACCAAGGTAGTGTGTTGCTGGGTTGATGAGAATGGGGCCAGAGGCTGGCAGGAAGCTAACCCTGTGTTTCCTCAGGGCCGATGGCTCAGGAGTGCCGGCGGATTATGCCGTGTGGTGGTGTATGCTGTTGCGTGATGTGTGTATATGTACATACACAATGCAGGTAGATACGGTGTTGTCTGCACTTACCATGTATGTGATCGTGTACAGCGTTGTTTCCTGTGGTTGTACACTGGGTTTGACCTCTCCTCTCTCTGGCTACATCTTTCTCTTTTTCACTGACGGTCCCACTCACAGCCTCTCTCTCCTTCTCTCTCCACAGCTGGCCCCCGAAAGGACACTCCCCAAGTCCCCAGCTGGGGGCCCCGCGTAGACCTGGAGTGGACACCCCCTCCTTCCCTTCATGATTCCTTTGTAGCGCAGGTAACCAGCCAAGCGTCAGCTCATTCTCGGAGGGGCTGTGGTCCCCCACCTCCTCCATCCACCTGCCTGGACGGGACAGTCCTCCTTGACTTACCCACAACCCTCAGCCCCACCCTTTCCAGCCTGGGGCCCCGGGCTCATTCAGGCCATCCCCCTGCCTCCTCGCCATCTGCAGGCAAGGCGGGATCTCCCTCCCACATACCCCTCTTCTCCACGTGCTCTGCAGATCTCGCCAGGTTGCTCCCTGGCCGGGCCTTGCCCACTGTGGGCTGGTGGGGACAGGCAGGGGCTCATCGGCTGCGGAGCTGGTGACACGGGAAGAAGGAAAAGAAGGAAGCGTGGGTGGGGGTGGGGATATGAAGCCCGGTGCAGCCAGAGTCTTGGAAGGGAAGGGCCTCTCTGGGGTCGGTGCCCAGGGCCAGCTCTAGAGGGGAGGGTGATTGGCGTGTGAGGTCCTGAAGATGGGTGTTTCTGTTCTAGACTGGCCTTGTAACCCCGGGCCCGTGAAGTGTGTACGTGTGTGCATACGTGTGTGCAATTCCCATGCAGAAGTACGTGTAACATTTCTGGCCCACATGTGTGTTTCTGGCCAGAGGGTCTTTTTGCTTTCATCAGACCCTCCAAGACACAGTTCAGAGAAGACCCTGAACTAACGATGCGGGGTTCCTCCCAAGGCTGTGTTACAAAGCCGTTGAGGTTACTAGGGGTTGGGGTGGTGATTGGGAAGTTCAGAGGATGCTGTCGGGGTGAGGGATCGTGACCCAGCTGAGGGCACAAGTGAGATTTTATGTGTTTTGAGGTGGAGAGAGGGGTAGATCCGTGACAGTTACCACCTCCTCAGTGAATTCATGACTACCCCTGCTCTCCCTCCCCCCCGCAAAAAAGAGGGTAAGAAGTCCATGGCTGTGCGCTGGGGTTGTGTGTGATTTCTCATGTCCTGTCTGCATCGCTGGGAGGGAAGGATGTGTGGGCAGATGGAAGGATGGATCAGTTGGGGTTTGGAAGACAGGAGAGATGGACCATGAGGCGGAAGTTTGGTGAGATGGGTGCTTGGAAGCCTGGTGGGATGTTTAGAGCAATGGGAGGTTAGGTGAGGTGGGGGTGGGTGGGTGGGCAAACACAGAGAACTTAAGTTTTCTGGCTATAAAATTGGACACACAGCACCCTTCCCCATGGGGATTGAACAAGCTAACATCATTAGTGAAACGCTTGGGACAGTGCCTGGTGGGCGTGTGATAAGCATGGGCCAAATGTTAGCCGTCCTCATCCTCATCACTCTTGACGAGCTCAGCCCGGCTCCAGCGGCTGCTCTGACGCCGAGCGCCCACCCTCTGGGTCCTCCTCCCTTTCTTTCCCTCCTTGAGAACTGCGCTGCGTGTGTCTTCCATGGGGACCCAGAACCTGGGCCCCTCCACACCTGCTCTGGGCCAGCCCTGCCCTCAGGAGGCAGAGCACAGGCTCGGGGGCCAGACATCTGGCCCTGTTAGCCGGGAGAACCGCAGCCTCCGCTCTTGCATTAACTCTTCTGCGAAGCTGGGGGCGGCAGGACCCACCTCGAGGGATTCCCTGGGGATTAACCGCATTAGCGTGTGTGAAGCACTTAGCACGGGGCCCGCACGTGATCAGGGCTCACTTAGTCAAGACTGACGTCATCGTCGTCACCGGATGCTGGGGTAACAGAGGGAGGAGGAAAAGGCAGCCGTGTCTCTCTGGTCAGAGCTGCTGGCGGGGAGGGCTCCTGTCCCGCCCCACGCCCCCACCCATGCCCATAGACTCCAAGGGTCTGGGCCCCCAGGGGAGGGTCCTGGCCCACCGCTGCCATCTAACCTGTCGCCCTCTTCCCGCCCTGCCCCGTCCAGTGGCGATGGATGATGAGGATGGGAGATGCTTACTAGACGTGATTTGGTGAGTAGTGGGCTTCCCGTCCCCCCTCCCCGCCTCGCTCTCCCTGGCCCTCCCCTGTCCCTCGTCTCCTCAAGTGTCTCTCTCCTTCTCTCTTGCAGTGACCCTCAGGCTCTCAACGACTTCTTACATGGATCCGAGAAGGTGAGTGCTGGACAGGCTGAGGCATCCCCCAGGGCAGCGGGGAGCTGTGAGTCAAGCCCCCCCCGACACCCACATTGAGTAGACATCTGCCTTCCAGGAACCAGGCCCCAAGGTCATGGCGAAGGGGGAAAGAGACAGCAAATCCCTGCCCTCACACCATACACATTTCCTTGGTAAACAAGCAACCAGTAATTAATAAGGGCAGTGGTGGAAAGCACCACGCCGGGCAGCATAAGAAATAGTAACATCACTTTTGCACTGAAAATGAATGGGAAGTGGGGGGGCGAGGGCAGGGGCTCCTTTAGCTGCAACGGGCAGAGAGGTGACATTGAGGGTGAATTTGAAGGATCAAAGGGAGGGACCCACTGTGCTCTGACCAGGGGAAGAGCAGGTGGGAAGGTAGGAAAGTCTGACACGTTCCAGGAACAGAAAGAAGGCCAGTGGGGCCAGGATGAAAGGGAAACTAGTAGGTGGTGAGACTGGAGTGGACAAAACCCACCAGGTCATGCAAAGCCCAGAGGAGCTTGACTGAGGAGTTTGGACTTTATTCTGAATGTGACAGGCAGCTCTGACAGGGTATTAAGCAGCCACACGGCATATTCTATTTGCACTCCAGAGAATGGAACAAAGCGGGGAAGAGGGGACATCGGTTGAGCCATGAAGGGTTTTATCACTTATCCAGGGCTGCATAACAAGTTACCCCAGCACGCTGTGGCTTCTCATGACTTCTAATAACATTTGTTAGCTCTCTGTTTCTGGGGGTTGGGAATGGGGGAGCAGTCTAGCAGCGTGTCTGGCTTGGGGTCTTCCCTGAGTAGCATTCAGGGTGTTGGTTGGAGCCACTGTCGTCTGGGGGCTTGCCTGGGGCTGGGGGGCCTGCTCCCATAGCGACTCACCCCTGTGGCCATTGGCTGGAGGCCTCAGCTCCTCCACGTGGGCCTCTCCAGAGGATTACTTGGGCGTCCTCATGACGTGGCAGCTGGTTTGCCCAAGTGAGGGACCCAGGGGAGAGAGCCAGGAGGAAGCTGAGTGCCTCTTATGACCTAGTCTCCGAAGTCACACTGCCTTCGTTGGAAGCGAGTCACCATGCCCACCCACACTCTCAGGGAGGGAAAAGAGCTCCACTCAAGGGGATGTATGGAATACTTTGCGGAGCAGTGGGAGGACAGCGGCCCGGGCCCCAAGGCAGGCGGTGGAGGAGGCGCCAGGAGCTGCTTTGGGGTGGGTCTGGAAGGCAGCGTCACTCGGCTTGAGGGTTGATTAGATGGCGAGGAAGAAGTGTCCAGACTGCCTCCTGTACTTGAGCTGAGCAACTGAATGGGTTTTACCGTTCCCCTGAGACTGGGAGTTTGGGACAGGTCCCAGAAGTCCGAGGGCGGCTGTTGGATGTATTGAATTGGCCAAAAAAAGTTGGTTTAGGTTTTTCTGTAAGATGTTATGAGAAAACCCAAATGAACTTTTTGGCCAACCCAGTACCAGTCTAGGGTTCTGGAAGGGGATCAGCTAGAAACTGGGGGGCTCGGCTGTGGACAGACAGTGGGCGCTTGAGGCCTGTTCTCGGCATTGATGATAATTTCTGGAATGAGACCGGTCCCTGCTCTCCCAGACATGGGAACAGCTCACACATCTGGCACCCGGGGACCGGGCTGTGCAGAGGAAGGACTACTTTCATAGGAAGGGACAGATGGACACGTGTTGGGAGGAGGTGGTACATGTGACAGGCCCTGCAGGATGTGTTACCAAAGAAGCAGAAGGTGAAGGGCCAGGGGCACTGCTTGGGTTAAGATGCGGAGGCATGGTTCTTGAGAGTTCCAGGAAGGCGTGTTGGGGAGCCTCGGACGTGGTGCTAGGGGCTCCTTAGGATTTAAACTTGCAGCCAAGCCCCTTTCTTTGGGGCCTCTTTTCTGGAGGTGGAGTTTCCCATACCCCTCGAACCTCCCCCACCCCCGCATTCCCACCCCCCACTTCGTCTTTGTCTTTGTGTCCATGTAACCCAAAAAAACCCCAAATTGGGTTTTGTTCTAGCGTGTGGGCCGGCCCACTGCCCAGCTGACCTTTGACCTTGGGTGGGGGCGGGTCTTGTTGCAGCTCGACAGTGATGACCTCCTGGATAATCCCGGGGAGGCCCAAAGTGCCTTCTATGAAGGTCCTGGGGTAAGTGGCCACGGGGGCTCGGTGAGGACGGTGGGCTCTGGTCATCACCCAGGTTGCCCGTGGTAGCAGCCAGTGGGGGAGGCTTGGAAGGGGTCATACTCATTCCCTGAGGCACTTTGCCCCAGAGGTGGGGGGGGGCGCGGTCACTGAGAGCAGAGTGGGGTACAGGTGAGGCCAAGACTGCCGGATACCACCCCCCCACCCCCAGGCTGTGCCTCAGAGAAGGAAGTGCAGTTCCTGGGTCCCTGGCCTTGGGGATCAGCTGCTACAGCACTGGCATGGAGGCTGAGGCTGGCTCTGGAGTTTATGGAGGGGTGTGCTCCTGAGGAACGGGGGCTGGGGGGGACTTGGGGTCGTGTCTTGGCTCAGCTGTGGCTGGAAGGTGACCTGGGGAACAGGATCCACTGGTACAGACCTCTGTCTCTGCCTAGAAAATGAGAGCAGGGATGATGAGCAAAGCCCAAAGAGGAGCACGCAGTGGGCATCTACATTATTGAGCACCTCCTGCGTGCCAGGCCCTTCCCTCCTCTTCCCCTTCTGTGGCCTCTCCCCTCCCCTCTTCTCTCCCCGCCCCACCCCACCCCCTCCTGTTCCTCCTCCCTACCCCTCCTTTGTCACCGTAACTGTCATTTCCAGAACACTTATCATGCTGGACCCTTTACAGTAATTTTCATTTAATCCTCACAACCACCGTAATAACACATTCCAAACAATTGATTCGGCAAAATATACATGCCTAAATCCAGAACCCAGCAAATAATAGTGTGTTCATGTTATTACACTTATAGATTGGTTAGAGTATGCGTTGTTCTTATTCACGCCGCCCTGTCTTAATTTAACCTGTATGGCCCCTGGTCAGGTTCTTAGCACCTCATGTGCATGATGTCAGTAAATGTCACAACCATCCTAGGAGGCAGGTTTGGTTATAGCCATTTAGCAGTTAGGAGCTCAGAACCCCCTGGTCTTTGGTTGGGGGCTGAGCTGGAGCCTGTCTGGCCAGGCACCGCCCCCTGCTTGGCAGCGGGGTGGCCCTCTCCCAGTCCAGGGGGTGAGGAGGGAGCAGTGCCCACCTCCCTGGGCTGTTACTGACAGCAACAACCTAGACAGTAATAGTAATGCCAGCATGAGTGACAGATGATGTTTCTCAGGTGCCAGATAGGAGCCAGGTACTGCTCTAAGCCGTCCCTGTGGGATGAACTCAGAATCTTTTTAACAACAGTTTTGACCCATTATCAGTGGGTATTCCATGCTGCTAGCGTACTCGTTACTTATGGGATATTTGCTCAACAATGCATACATGTATTGATTGTGCATTCGTGACCTGGATCACCATCCGGAAAGCACTTAAGAAACCTCAGACTCACAGTGCACTTGGGACCGACTAAGGCTGCTGCTGCTCTTGGCGTTTAACAGAACCATGATCTTGATCCAAAACCTTTGGGGCCAGGCTTGTTGTGGGATTCAGGATTTTTCAGATGCTGGAAAGGCGATGCTGACTACGTGTGTGCTGCGTGTAACGTAACACACTCACTTTTCTGTGGTCACACTGAAGGCAAGTCCTGTTACATGGCCAAATAACGCCTTTCCCTCTTGAGCATCAGTTGCATTCTGACCAGGGCTTTCCAGCCTAAAGTTCTCAAAACATTTGCGGTTTTCAGAGCCTTTGGGGTTTTGGAAGTGCAGATAAGCATCATGGGGCTGTGTGGCTGTTTAGAAAATGGTTTTTGTTACATTCTGCTGATGTGCACAGATGGGGAAGAAAACAGGCCAGATTAAGCCAGCCCCAGGGTGCCCAGCTCAGCCCTGGTGAAGCTAGGATTTGAACCCAGGTCCAGCCGCTTCTTGTAGAAGGTTCTTTTTCTCCCTGCCGCCCTGACACCAGGTACCCTTGGCTTCAGCCATGTCCTGGGCCCAGCCCCTTGCTAACCTGGGCTCTCTCCTCCCCCACCTTCCTCGGCCTCCAGCTCCACGTGCAAGAAGCCTCTGGCAACCACTTGAACCCGGAGCCCAGCCAGCCGGCCCCCAGTGTGGACCTCGACTTCCTGGAAGATGACATCCTGGACTCGCCCGCAGCCGGGGGCGGCGGCGGGGGTGCTGGGGGTGCCGACCAGCCCTGCGACATCCTCCAGCAGAGCCTGCAGGAGGCCAATATCACCGAGCAGACACTCGAGGCTGAGGCCGAGCTGGACCTGGGCCCCTTCCAGCTGCCCACCCTGCAGCCTGCGGACGGCGGGGCTGGCCCAGCGGGGGCCGGAGGGGCTGCTGCCGTGGCCACGGGACCCCAGGCGCTCTTCTCTGGGGGCGCCGACCTGCTGGGGCTGCAGGCCCCGCCCACCGTGCTGACCCACCAGGCCCTGGTGCCACCCCAGGACGTGGTCAGCAAAGCCTTGAGCGTCCAGCCCTTCCTGCAGCCTGTGGGCCTGGGCAACGTGACACTGCAGCCCATCCCGGGCCTCCAGGGCCTGCCCAACGGCAGCCCTGGGGGTGCCGCAGCAGCCACACTCGGCTTGGCCCCCATCCAGGTGGTGGGCCAGCCCGTCATGGCACTCAACCCACCCACCTCCCAGCTCCTGGCCAAGCAGGTGCCCGTCAGCGGCTACCTGGCCTCAGCGGCCGGCCCTTCGGAGCCAGTGACCCTGGCATCGGCTGGCGTCTCACCCCAGGGGGCCGGCCTGGTCCTGCAGAAGAACCTCCCCGCCGCAGTGGCCTCCACACTCAATGGGAACTCAGTGTTCGGAGGGGCGGGAGCCGCCCCGGCGGCAGCCAGCGGGACGCCCTCAGGACAGCAGCTGGCGGTGGCCCCCGGCCTGGGCACATCGCCGCTGGTTCAAGCGCCGAACGTCATTCTGCACCGCACGCCCACGCCCATCCAGCCCAAGCCTGCTGGTGTGCTGCCCCCCAAGCTCTACCAGCTGACCCCCAAGCCGTTCGCCCCCGCGGGCGCCACACTCACCATCCAGGGCGAGGCCGGGGGCCTCCCACAGCAGCCCAAGGCCCCCCAGAACCTGACTTTCATGGCGGCGGGCAAGGCTGGCCAGAACGTGGTGCTGTCGGGCTTCCCAGCGCCCGCCCTGCAGGCCAATGTCTTCAAGCCGCCTCCAGCCACCACTACGGGGGCGGCCCCCCCGCAGCCCCCCGGGACCCTGAGCAAGCCCATGAGCGTGCACCTCCTGAACCAAGGCAGCAGCATCGTCATCCCCGCCCAGCACATGCTGCCGGGCCAGAACCAGTTCCTGCTGCCCGGCACGTCGGCGGTCCAGCTCCCCCAGCCGCTCTCGGCCCTGCCCGCCAATGTAGGCGGGCAGATCCTGGCGGCCGCGGCCCCCCATGCGGGCGGACAGCTCATCGCCAACCCCATCCTCACCAACCAGAACCTGGCGGGTCCTCTGAGCCTGGGCCCTGTGCTGGCCCCCCACTCAGGGGCCCACAGCGCCGCCCACATCCTCTCGGCCGCCCCCATCCAGGTGGGCCAGCCGGCGCTCTTCCAGATGCCCGTGTCGCTGGCCGCCGGCAGCCTGCCCACTCAGAGCCAGCCGGCCGCCGCTGGGCCGGCCGCCACCACCGTCCTCCAGGGGGTCACCCTGCCCCCCAGTGCCGTGGCCATGCTCAACACCCCTGACGGTCTGGTGCAGCCCGCCACCCCCGCTGCTGGTGGGGAGGCCGCGCCTGTCCTCACGGTGCAGACGGCACCCCAGGCGCCCCCCGCCGTCAGCACCCCACTGTCTCTGGGCCTCCAGCAGCCGCTGCCGCAGCAGCAGCCACAACCACCACCACCACAGGCCCCCACCCCGCAGGCAGCCGCCCCAGCTCAGGCCCCCACCCCGCAGCCCAGCCCAGGCCTGGCGTCCAGCCCGGAGAAGATTGTCCTGGGGCAGCCGCCCTCTGCCGCCCCCACAGCCGTCCTCACTCAGGACTCCCTGCAGATGTTTCTGCCCCAGGTAACCAGGGCCGCCGGGGCAGGGGAAGGGGGGCTGCGTGGAGGAGGGGGCCAGGACCTGGAACCGGATGCGGTTGAAGCAGCAAGTGGGGAGGAGCCCGGGAGTCAGGAAGGGCCCCCAGAGCTGCCACCCCTGTCCCAGGTCGCTGAGGAGGAGGCCCCGGGGCGACAGGGCCCAGCTGACTGACACCAAGACAGACAGATGACGGGAGGGACAGAGAGACGGGCCGCCCTCTTGCTGGAGAGTTAGAGAAGGGTCCGAGAGAGAGTGGGCGAGACACAGACGGACAGACAGACGGGGCAGGAGAGATGGACGCTGGGGTGGAGCCGGAAGACAGCCTGCAGGACCGAGGGGACTGAGCCACCCCAGGTCATGCCCCCTGGACCCTGGGGCTCCCAACCCCCTGACCTTGGCGTCTAGCTTCTGGGTGCCCTCCAACTGGTTCCCACCACCTCCTTCTTCAGAGCATCGGCTGGGCAGGGTGTCGGGTGTGGAGGCCTTGGGTCCGTGGGGGTGGCCTCTGACCCACTGTGGGCTGCCCGTTGCAGGAGAGGAGCCAGCAGCCCCTCTCCACAGAGGGCCCCCACCTCTCCGTGCCCGCCTCGGTCATAGTCAGCGCCCCGCCTCCCGCCCAAGACCCAGCCCCGACCACCCCCGTCGCCAAAGGAGCTGGCCTTGGCCCTCAGGCCCCCGACAGCCAGACCTCCCCGGCGCCGGCCCCCCAGGTAGACGAACCCCAGCAGCCTCTGTCCCAGCGCAGACCAGCCCTGCCCCTCGCCCCCCCCGCCACCCCCTCCACGCGCTCTCTGGCTGCCCTGCCTGCCGCTCTGTCTCGCTGGCTTGGGAAGCGGTGCTCCCCTTGGCTCCCCAGATGTTTCCTGAGGGTCTCCTGACGGCCGTGGATGCTTGAGACCACACTCTAGTCAGGGACACATAGTTAGGTCCTAGAATGATCATTTTTCTGTCTGGATAAGTAGCTCACATTTTGAGGAAGACACCAAGAAGTCTAGATCCAAGCCCGGCTTTCCCTCCCCAAGGGGATTTCTTCCACTCCTTTCCCACGAAAAGACAAATGAAAAGACAGTGGGGTTCTTTTCCTTCCATTTTTACAAAAATGAAAGCAATACTCTACATGCATTCTGCACCTTTTATCATTTAGAAGTTCATCCTGGAGACTGTACTCCATTCTTTTACATGATTGCATAGTATTCCATCATGTGTGGGTGCTATTTATGTAACCAGATATTGTTGTTGGGAATTTAGGTCACTTTTGGTCTTTAGCTGTCAGATGAGCAAGGCTGCAAAGTACAACTCTGTACATATGTCTCTTTGTAGGATAAATTCTAAAAGGGCATTGCTAGGTCTAAGAGCATATGCATTTATAATTGTGACAGATATTGCCAAATTGCTCCCTGCAGAGTATAAATTGGTTTAATGGATTATCTGTGGTTGATCAGTATGTGATCTGTGGTTGTTTGCCCCCACTCTTAAGTGATATTGAACTTGGCCACTTGGATAGGTGAAAAACAGTATCTTGTTCTGTTTTAATTTGCATTTCTTTTACTGTAAATGAGGCTGGGCAGGTTTTTATAGATTTAGAGTTTTAGAGTTATTTGTGTTTTCTGTGGAATTATGTGTTCATACCCTTGGCCATTTTCAAATTTGGGTTGCTAGTCATTTTCTTGTTGGTTTGTAGAAACTCTTTACGTATTAGAGAAATAGACATTGTCTCATATGAGTCATTAGCACATCAGCATATGAGAGGTTAGGATGGGCCCCTTTTATTCTGGAGGGATAGATGTTGCACTCATTCAAAAGGGATCCATGGGTAGGTAGATAAGGATAGGCAGAAAGAGGAGGAAATAAGATGAGGGAGGTCCAGGCAGGCAGAAATCAGCTAGACTTTGGCCTTCAATAGCCATGATTTCACGCTCAGGCTCTGCTACTCACCATGTGACTGGAAGCAACCAGCTTCTTCATTCCATCAACTGTTGTTTAGGGAAAAGAGAGCACGAAGTACGTGCCAGGCTTGTGCTAACCCTGGCCAAGTCCCTGTAACTGCTGAACTTCAGTTTCCTCATATGGAAAATGGGGATAGTAGTTTCTTTAAAGGTCTGCTAGGACAAGTAACCGAGTTGATATGCGCTTTGCACAGAGTAAGCAGTCCAAAAATGTTTGCTATTGTTAGTATTACTTGGGGACTTCCTAGGTGGCTCAGTGGTAAAGAACCTGCCTGCCAGTGCAGGAAAGCAAGTTCGATCCCTAGGTCAGGAAGAGCCTCTGAAGAAGGAAATGGCAACCAACTCCAGTATTCTTGTTTGGGAAATCCCATGGACAGAGAGGAACCTGGCAGGCTTCGGTCCATGGAGATCACAGAAGAGTTGGATTTGGCTTAGCGACTCAACAACAACAAATGATTGTTTTAGCTGTTGTATTTGTGGCATCGAGTGCGGGTCAGTCCAGAGGGACATGGGGCCAAGATTTCCTCAGGTCATCTCTACACAAGGAGGAAAGGCAGGGGCCAGGGGCCACCTGGGCTGTGAGAGACTCAGGTTGAAAGTACTGTTTCTAGGGTGGTCAGATGTGGGCCTGGGTCCCTGGGGCAAGGGCAGTCCCCTCTCCGAGCCTTCCATCCTCAGCTGGAACTTGGGGCTGGTAGGAGCCCTTCTTCTGAGCGCTGGGGTTGAGAGTGGGGTCTCAGCACGTATGTCATCTCCCACTTCAGTGTCAGACACCCTGCAGGTGCTTATCTGGACTTGCTGCTCGGGTGACCAGCAGTACCAAGATGGTACCTCCCCCAAGCCCCTTGACCTCCCTGGGCCTCAACTTCCTGACCTGTCAAATGGGTATGCGGACAATGGCTATTGTGAGGAATAAATGAATTGGTGTATGTAAAGTGCTTCAACAGGGCCGGACATGTCGAAAGTCCTGGAACGTGAGAGAGAAGCCCCGCGAATTTTCTACCAAGGGCCAGTAGTAAATGTTTTAGGCTTTGCAGGACTGTCACTATAGCCTAGAAATGGCTCTAGATAAATGAATGAGCCTTGGTGGGCTCCCATAAAGCCTTACTTATGCACACTGAAATTTCAATCTCCTATCAGTGTCCTGAGTCAAAGAATATTCTTCTTCTGACTTCTTTTCAACCATTTAAAAGCGTAAAAACTATTCTGAGCTTGCGGGCCATCCAAAATGGTCAGCCAAGCGGGGCGGCAGGCCACATTTGGCTTCTGGGCCTTGGTCTGCCAAACCTTTTGAGATCTTTATTTTATTACGTAGATGAGCAAGGCTTCACTTATTCAGTCCCCTACTGGTGAACACTTAAGGTATCCAGTCCCACAGAATCGCTAACGAACACTCCCTCACATATTCTCATAGCGGGCTTTGCATGTGCGTGAGAATGCCCGTAGGTTGAATGTCTAGAAATAGAATTGCTGGATCGGAGGGTATCCAGTTGGCCCTCCAAATCTGCAGATTCCTCTCCATTGGATTCAACCACCAGTGGATGGAAAATATTCGGGGAAAAATATTCCAGAAAGTTCCAAAAAGCACCATTTGAATATGCTGTGTACAGACAACTACTTCCATAGCATTGACATTGTGCATGTGTGCATGCGTGCTAAGCCGCGTCAGTCATGTCCGACTATTTGTGACTCCATGGACTGTAGCCCACCAGGCTCCTCTGTCCATGGGTTTCTCTAGGCAAGAATACTGGAGTGGGTTGCCATGCCCTCCTCCAGGGGATCTTCCCAACCCAGGGACTGAATGCACATCTCTTATGTTTCCGGCATGGGCAGGTGGGTTCTTTACTACTAGCACCATTTATTAGGTATCATAGATAATCTAGAGGTGATTTAAAATATACGAAAGGTTGTGTGTAGGTTATATGCAAATACTGCACCATTGGTATGAAGGACTTGAGCATCCTTGGATTTTGGTATCTGATGGGGTGAGCCCCTGTGGATATGGAGGGTTGACAGTACACACTGCCCAAGTATTTTATGGACCAATCCAGCTGCTCCTTCATTAGGTTCGTGCTGGTAAAAGCCTCTGTCAGCTTCCTCAACCCCAGATAAGCGACCCGCTCACTGCCCACCATGTGGGAACATGCATGCCTCCCAATTCCTGTGCTTCTCTTAAATTCTGCTTGATCTGAACGTCTTCCCATCTCCCCACGGGCAGTTGGAATCTCTCAGTAAACAGTCCACTCATGTGGGAGCTTTAAAAAAAAAAAAGTAATTATAAAAATAATTTCATGCTTCTCTAGAGGATTTAAAAAATACAGAAAAGAACCAAGAAGAAAAACAAATCACCCGAAATACCAGCATGCAGAAGCTGCTGGCAGCATTTTTGGTATGAAGTCTCCTTTTAGCCTTGCTTTTCTTCTTCCCATCCATTTCAAACATTGGTCCCTTTTGACATTGGGTGGTATACTCACATGGTTCAATCATGAAAAAGCTTTTTTTTTTTTTTAAATCCTTTTTCTTTTTGTCTGTGGTGTGTGGGATCTTAGTTCCCTAACCAGGGATTGAACCTGCGCCCCTGCAGTGGAAGCCCAGAGTCTTAACCACTGGACAGCCAGGGAAGTTCCACAAAGGATTTTTAACGTATGGGGGGAAGTATCTCACCCCATGCCTGCATTCCCAACCCCTCCCCATAGCCTCAGCACTTACTTTTTGTATTTTCTTCCAGCTCTGTGCATATACAACCTTGTGCAAGTGTACGTTAACATTTCTCTCTACACAGCAGGTAGCACATTATCCATGTGATTGGGCAGCCTGTGGGGTGTTTCCTTGGTCCCTTGTTACAGTGGAGAAGCATTCCTCTGTGTAGATGGGGCTGGACGAGCTTTCCTCCTTGGACATGCTGTCCTGATGCCCTTAGACCACGTCTGGGCTTTGGTCCTTCACACAGAGCTTGCAGTAAACTTCCATCATCTCATGTATGTGTATCTCTCTGGTCACTTCCCAGAAGCCTGTCTGCTGGATTAAAGCATAGGTGTACTTAGAATTTGCACAGCAGCTGCTGAATTGCATTCCTCTGAGGCTGTAGCAAATGGTGCCAGTTTAGACTCCCACGACAACGTGCGAGTGTCTTTATGAGACATATGACTTATTTGTAATGTGCACCTGAACTTGGCTCCACAGGGCACCTTTGATCTGCATCTCTTATTACAAGGGACGTTGAGCATCTCTTGACATATTTAAGCCTTTTGTGTTTCTTTTTCTACACTGTGTCTGATCATATCCTTTGCCCCCATTTTTCTTACTGCTTGTTACTCTTAGTGATTTCCAGAGGCTCTTTTTATATGAGAGATGAGCTTTGTCTCGGCTATGTTGTTGTTCAGTCACTAACTCGTGTCTAACTCTTTGTGACCCCATGGACTGCAGCACACCAGACTTCCTTGTCCTTCACCATCTCCCAGAGCTTGCTCAAACACATGTCCATCCATTCGGTGATGCCATCCACCATCTCATCCTCTGTCGTCCCCTTCTCCTGCCTTCAATCTTTCCCAGTGTCAGGGTCTTTTCTAATGAATGGGGTTCTTCGCATCAGGTGACCTAATAAGTACTGGAGCTTCAGCTTCAGGATCAGTCCTTCCAATGAATATTCAGGGCTGATTTCCTTTAGGATTGATCAGTTTGATCTCCTTGCTGTCCAGGGGACTCTCACTATTTCCCCCAGTATGTTATTTGCTTCTTGACTTGGTTTGGGGGGAATGTGTGAGTATTTGTCCCTGTATGTTTATTGAGGATGTGAGTTTTTTTAAATATTTTTCAATTTTTTGGTTATTTTTAAGCTTTTCATTTTTAATTCGTTTCAAACATATAGCAAAGTTGTAAGACTAGAATGTAGGAATAATACCTATGTGAATTCTTTACTCTAACCAGATGTTTTAGTTACCTGTTGCTGTGTAACAGATTATCTTTCTTCCAAAGCTGGGCAGCTTGAAACAACAAACATTAACTTACCTCACATGATTTCTAAGGATCAGGAATCTGGAAGCAGATTAACTGGGAGGTTCTGGTTTGTGATCTTTTGGGAGATTATAGTCAAGATATCAGCCAGGGCTGAGTCATCTGAAGGCTTGGCCAGGCTGGAGAGCCTGCTTCCAAGATGCTGCACTCGTGGGACTTCCCTGGTGGCCCAGTGGTTAAGGCTCCGTGTTTCTGCTGCAGGGCGTGAAGGTTCGATCCCTGGTCAGGGAACTAAGATTCTGCATGCCGCACTGCGCAGCCAGAATAACAGCAAAGATGGTGCACTGGTAGGGCTGCTGGCGGGAGAGCGGACCTCCGTGGAGAGAAACTGAGGCCTCCCCAAAAGGCAGCTCACAACATGATCCACAGTCGGCTTCCCCTGAGCACGTAATCGATTAGAAAGAGAGCAAGGGAGCTGCCCAGGAGAGAAGCCAGTCTTTTTTAGAGCCTAACCTTGGAAGTGACACGTGATCACTTCCGCTGAGTTCCTGTGGCTGCGGAGAGCAACCCTGGTACAGTGTGGGAGGAGCCTGAAAACAGGGAGGCGGGGATTGCTGGGGGCCACCCCTGATTGGAGCCTGAAGACAGGAGAGCGGGGATCGTTGGGGGCCACCCCTGATTTTTAACCACTGTAAATATTTGGCCACATTCGCTTTAGCCATGGCCCTCTCAACATGTATCCCTTATTCTTTTCCCGAGTCATTTGAGAGTCAGTTGCAGACATCATGCTTCTGCACCCCCTTCATATTTTGGTCTGATTATTTCTGTCTTTGACAATAACATTCTCTCACTCAACCACTGGAGTCATCAAATCCAGTGCATCTAGCATTGCGACAATACTGTTATCAAATCCACCGTCCATAATGCAATGCAGCCAGACGTCTAGCAATCGTGTCGTGGATCGCTGTCCTTCTCTCACTCAGCATCTGATCTGTGTTGCCTCGGAAGCCTGTGCTTAGGAGTGCCAAGCGGGACAGCTCCCTTGGTTCTCACTGTCAGCTCCTTGCCTGCGGCTCCCACCAGCTTTCTTCTCTGGTTTTCTCTGTTGTAAATAGTCTCACGGTGGCCAGCCCTCTGAGCAAGAACCTGAATGTTCCTGATCACGAATTCCTGCAGGCGAGATTACCAGGTCCACTCGAGGCTCTTCTGTTTCATTTGTTTCATTTAATATCTATTTATTTATTTCCAAACTTTATACTTATTTTGTACTGGAGTAGAGCCGATTACAATTTAGTGATAGTTTCAGGTGAGCAGCCATCCATGTACATGCATCCATTCTCCCCCAAACTCCCTTCCCACCCAGGCTGCCACATAGCATTGAACAGACTTCCCTGTGCTCCACAGTAGGCCCTTGTTGATTATCTATTTTGAATACAGCAGTGTGTACATGACCTTCCCAAACTCCCTAACTATCCCCTTCCCCCTGCCCCCCACCCCCCAGGAAACAGTAGGTTAGGTTTTTAAGTCTATGGGTCTGTTTCTCTGTTGTAAGTTCATTTGTATCATTTGGACTGGTCATTTTGGTTCCCTGGCCTCAATGTCTCATCTGTGAAGTGGGTCAGATATGATCACAGCTCTCAGGACCATGGAGAGATCCCTGTTCACGTTCCCAGCCAAATGCCCTGGGTCAGTGGGCGCTGTCGGGGGGAGGGGGGTGCGGATTCTGTGACCGGGAGCAGAGAGGTGCCAGTTCAGTGTTGGGTGCCCAGCTGCTGCCTGTGGTTCAGTAGCAGCTGCTGAGGTTTGAGGTTCTTGCAGAGGCGGCCTTTAGGGAGAGGAGGGTGCACAGGACCAAGGTGCCCTGACTGAGGTGTTTTATGTGAGTTCACTGTGTATGTGTTACAGACTACTGCTTAGATCGCACATGCAAGCCCGATACACACAACACGCACGCACACACTCACGCCCGTACCTGCAGGCTCCCACGACCCCCAGGTAGGCTTGCAGCCATGACCCCACAGGCACAGGTCATGGACACTTAGAAGGGGACTCGTAACTCATGTGCTGGCATCCAGGGGGACCCGACCCTGACCTTGACCCTTGGTTTCCATCCTCATCCCTGGCTCCCCCGTCCCCAGCGTGCCCTCCTCAACCATCAGCCCCCACCCCCACCCCCAGTTCTCAGCAGCCGCGGTCTCCCTGCTGGTGTCTGTTTTCCTGGGTCAGCTGGATGGTGGGGCCCCCTGGCGCCCCCCCCCCGCCCCTGCTGCTCTGCTCTGCCCCCTGGCCCCCCGGCCCCCCTGCCTACCTGCCCCCGGGCAGCTGGTGTGGTGCTCCCACCACTGCTTCCTCCGCTGCTGCCCCCAAAGCCTGCAGAGCTCGCCTTCCTCTGGGGGGAAGTGGGGGGCTTGGGGGGGGGAGGGGGTGAGATCAGAAGGCAGAGGTACGGGGTGGGGGGGCAGTTGGTGGGTCGAGAAGGGATAGGTTGAGGGAATGAGGTAGGTGGACAGGTAGGGGGTGGGGGGCGGGTGCAAGGTGGGGGACGGAGGTGGAGTGGAGAGGATGGCGGGGGCATCAGGACAAGGGGTGGCCAAGAAGGGGGCGGGGCTTCCAGGCGGGAGCGGCCGGGGTCCCCAGCATCTAGGGGCCAGGGGAGCCAAGGTTGGTTCTGACCCCCGTCCCCTCCCCTCTCCCTCCCTCCCCTGCCCAGATCCCTGCAGCGGCTCAGCTGAAGGGCCCCGGCCCCTCCTCCTCCCCGTCACTACCTCACCAGGCCCCCCTGGGGGACAGCCCCCACCTGCCGTCCCCTCACCCGGCCCGGCCCCCGTCCCGACCCCCATCCCGCCCGCACTCCCGCCCCCCCTCCCAGCCGCAGAGCTTGTCCCGCCCCCCCTCAGAGCCCACCCTGCACCCTTGCCCTCCGCCCCAGGGCCCCCCCACCCTGCCTGGCATCTTTGTCATCCAGAACCAGCTGGGCGGTGCCCCCCCTGCAAGCACCCCGGCCCCCACCGCCCCGGGCCCGCCCCAGCCTCCCCTGCGACCCCCGTCCCAGCCCCTGGAGGGGCCACTGGTCCCCGCCCCCCACCTCCCTCCGGCCTCCACCTCCACTGTCGGGGCCGTCTCCTCCGCCGCCTCCTCTGAGACGTCCTCCCGGCTGCCAGCCCCAACGCCGCCCGACTTCCAGCTGCAGTACCCGCCCAGCCAGGGGCCCCACAAGTCCCCCACGCCCCCTCCGACCCTTCACCTGGTCCCCGAGCCCGCAGCGCCCCCCCCACCGCCTCCTCGGACCTTCCAGATGGTGACCACCCCCTTTCCGGCGCTACCCCAGCCGAAGGCTCTTCTCGAGAGATTTCACCAGGTAATTGGAGGCAGGGGCCGGCCCACCGCCCACGCCGCAACCCCCCCCACCCCCGCCGATCCCATTCCCTCCCGCTTTCTGGCTTTCTCTTCACCCCCGTATCCTGGTTCCTGGCTGCTCCTGCTCCTAGCGTGTGTGCTCCCCCCAAACCATCTGTCCCCCTCCTCAGGTGCCGTCCGGGATCATTCTCCAGAGCAAGGCCGTGGGGGCCCCCACCGCCCCACAGTCCTCCACCAGCCTGGGACCCCTCGCCAGCCCCACTGCCTCCGTGCTGGTCAGTGGGCAGGCTCCATCCGGGACCCCCACCACCCCCAGCCATCCCCCCGCCCCAGCGCCCATGGCCACTGCAGGTGAGGGAGAGGGAGCCCGCAACGGAGTCATGGGGGACCTGAAGTGGGTGGGTGGGAGTGACAGGGAGGACAGGTGGGCCAGAACTGTGGGCACCGGAGCCCAAGGGTCGCCCAGATGTTCAGGAATAGGGATGGTGGGGGGGGGGGTGCTGTACTCCGCAGACCCCCTCCAGGGGCGCTCACTCTGGGGCTGCCACGGCCACCGAGGCCCGAGAACCAGAGCAGTGTGGGGTGCAGAGTCTCGGGGGGGCCTTTGTGCCTGTGACCCCTGAGCCCTGTCTGCCCGCACCCCCACCCCAGGCCTGCCTCCTCTGCTTCCTGCCGAGAACAAAGCCTTTGCCAGCAACCTCCCGACCCTGACCGTGGCCAAGGCCGCCCCTTCTGGGCCAGGGAAGTCCTCCGGGCTGCAGGTAAGGGGCACCCAGAATGGTGGGCTAGGGCCCAGGCCAGATCGCTGGGGAACTGGGATGGGGCCGGAGGGGTAGGGAAGGCTGGCTGGCAGGCAGAGAGGTAGAGATGGGCAGAGACAGAGCCAGGTGGGGGTGAGACACCAGGACAGTCCAGGCCGGGGCACGCGGGAAACCAAGACAGTTGGCCGGAGATCCATCCCCAAACACAGTGACAGAATGAGGATGGGAGAGATGGTCTGAGAGAGAGCCCAGGCGGTCACTGGGGGCGTGAGCAGGTGAGAGATGGAGGCTGTAGAAGGAGAGGAGACTGTGTCGGCTCAGGACAGGCGGGGGGGAGACCCTAAAAGGAAGGACAGGGCAGGGTGGCCAGCGAGACACTAAGTCAGACATGGCGGAGGGACTGCCTTGGCGGTTAAGACTCTGCACTGGAAGGCATGGGTTCAATCCCTGGTCGGGGAACTAAGATCCCACATGCCTTGCCGTGCAGCCAGAGAAAAAAGGGAGGGGGGGGGCTGTGGTCAGGAGGAGAGCTAGGATGGTGGTACCCAGGCCAGAGGGGCATAGGCAGGGAGGGTGGAAGAGACTGAGGCGGAAACAAGATTTGAGAGAGCCTGAAGGGGAAGACCAGGCAGGACAAGGGAAATCAAGGTAGAGATTTAGGCCAGGGATGGGAGGAAAGAGGCCATGCCCATCAGGTGCTGGAGGAGGGGGGATTTGCGGGCCTTTTGATGGGCAGGGAGGGAGGTACCAGGTGGAAGCTGAGAGACTCAGGCCTGAGAAGAGGGGCTGGAGGAGGTGACCCAGGTGGAGGACGCCCGGAGCTTGAGGCTGCCTGTCACCCTCTCCTTGCCGTGTCCCCCCATTGGGTCCAGCCCCAGTCTTCCCCACAGGTTGAGTGTGCTAGGTGGGGAATCCTGCAGTAGGACCAGGACCCCATCTCGGGTGAAATCAGCCCCTCCCATCTTTGTCCCAGGCTGGGGGGTAGAGAGGCTCAGGTGCCAAGGGAAGCCTCCTCCGTCACAAAACCCCCCTCACTGGCTTCTCTCTCCCCTGCAGTATGAGAGCAAGTTGGGTGGATTGAAGAAACCACCCGCGCTTCAGCCCAGCAAAGAAGCCTGGTGAGTTTTTATGTGCCTCCCCTCCCAGCGCCGTCCCCCGCTGTGGGTTCAGGAAGTGCCATTGACCCCTCTGCCTCCCCCTCTAGGGAGGGGGGTGGGATAGTAGTGACTTTAGGGTGAATGGACGCGGATTCCGTGTGGCTGTGTTAGGAGGATTCATGGGCAGCTAGGCTGCTGGCTTCAAGTGGGGATGGATGTTTGGTGTGGCTTGGTCATCGCTGTGCCCTGAGTGCCTCGGACCAGGCTGGCAGGCAGTGCCTCCTGTCCGGGCGTGGGGGGTGCTTGTTCAGGGGGTGCCAGGGTGAATGGATGGATGGACGCTGCTCAGGCAGATGCGTGGCTAGACGGATAGCTGTTTGGGCGGATGGGCAGTAAGTGTTGGATGCTCGCATTCTGTCCCTCTCTCCTGCCCTCGGTCCACTGAGAGGGTTGGTCAGATCCTCATCGGGTGCCCAGTCCTAGGCTGGACTCCGGAAACGCTGGACAGACCAGGTTCTGCATCCACAGTGTGTGAAGGCTGCTGGCTTTCAGCACTGGGTGCAGACAAGCAGGCATGTCTGGTGGGAGAGACAGCCATACACAGTAGGCGATAGTCTACTGCCCAGTGAGAAAGCAGATCTTATCAACCAACCACCCAAAGGGCCCAACCTCCCTGCCGGCCTCCCCAAGCCTGCTGCTGGGTTCCAGGTAGAGCAGGGACATGCTGGCCCCAAGTGGCAGGAGATGGTATTGCATGGAAGCTCAGTCCCAAGCTCTGGCATCTAACTCCCCAGCACTGCCTCTAGCTGCTTTGGATCAGTGACTTCATCTTTGCAGGCCTGTTTCCTCATCTGTAAAATGGGCATAATGATAGCACTTCCTGCCATTGGTTGTCCCCAGAGATGCAGTGAGGCCGACCAGGCACACGTTCACACATACTTCTGCAGTGTTCCTTCCCTCATCGTCTGCCTTGTGGCCTGGGGGCTCAGGGTCCCGTTCTGCTGTCTCCTGGCCTCACCATGAGTTTTGTCTGTGTGTGTGGTCCTCCCCCCCCCCCCCCGACCCCTCAGCTTCCTGGAACATTTGCACAAACATCAGGGCTCTGTCCTGCACCCTGACTACAAGACGGCCTTCCCCTCCTTCGAGGACGCCCTGCACCGCCTCCTGCCCTACCATGTCTACCAGGGTGCCCTCCCCTCCCCCAACGACTACCACAAAGGTGAGGCCTCCCCGGGGTGTGGACGCGGGTGGTGAGGACCAAATAGGGTGCAGGCGCCCTTGACTGCCGGGCCCGCCCCAACATCTGGGTCTCTGGACCTCTTCCTCCGCAGTGGACGAGGAGTTTGAGACCGTCTCCACGCAGCTGCTGAAACGTACCCAGGCCATGCTCAATAAATACCGCCTCCTGCTGCTGGAGGAGTCCCGGGTAGGGTGGCCCGTCACCTTTCTTCTCGGGGGACCCTCGCCCCCCATGCCCACCCACCCCCACCTCCCCGCCGCAAGGAGGAGGGAGGGAGGGTGGATCAGATCACAAGAAGGACAGTTCAGAATCTCTTTCCATCCATCCCCAGCGATCGCGTCCCCCTCCCCCTTTTTCACTGGCTCATCTAATCGCCTCTCCCCCTCCTTGCCCCCAGAGGGTGAGCCCCTCCGCGGAGATGGTAATGATCGACCGAATGTTCATTCAAGAGGAAAAGACCACGCTGGCCTTGGACAAGCAGCTGGCCAAGGAAAAGCCAGGTAATGAGAGCGCAGGGAGCCGGGTCTCCGCCGCCTCCTCCGGGTGCGGCGCGTTCCCTCACTCCGCCACTGGGCGGCGCCCGAGCCTCGCCTTCCTGCCTAATCCGAAAGACCTGAGCGAGGACCTGCGCTTCCTGCTCCGCGTGTCTATTTCGCCCCCTCAATCCTGGCCCTGCAGGGAGGAAACATCCTGCCACTCCCCGGGGCACAGAAAAGTGGGAAAGCAGAGCCAGGACCGGGGTGAAGCCGGCAGAAGTTGGTGGGTTGCAGAAGTTAAGGTGGTATCCTCCGTCCGGTGCCGAGGGCTGCTGGCACATTACGGGGACTTGGGACTTGGGGAAAGGGTCTTGCCTAGCAGTGTCCTCGTGAGTGAAGGGTTTACCCCCGGGCCCGGCAGATGGTCAACACTCAGTGGACACCAGCTCCTCTTAGCTCTGCAGGGGCCTCCTGCCTTGGCTAAGCCCCAGGGTTTTCTTGGCCCCCTTCTCCTACAGATGAGTACGTGTCTTCCTCCCGCTCTCTTGGCCTCCCCGTCGCCGCTTCTTCCGAGGGACACCGGCTGCCCGGCCACGGCCCGTCCCCATCCTCGGCGTCCGGGGCCCCAGCCCAGCCCCCTCTGCACCTGCCCACCAAGCTGGTGATACGGCACGGCGGCGCGGGCGGCTCCCCCTCCGTGACCTGGGCCCGGGCCTCGTCGTCCTCCCTGTCTTCCTCCTCCTCGTCCTCCGCCGCCTCCTCCCTGGACGCCGACGAGGACGGCCCCATGCCCTCCCGCAACCGGCCGCCCATCAAGACCTACGAGGCCCGGAGCCGCATCGGGCTCAAGCTCAAGATCAAACAGGAAGCCGGGCTCAGCAAGGTCGTCCACAACACGGCCTTGGACCCGGTGCACCAAACGCCGCCACCGCCCCCCACCTCCCTCAAGGCGGCCGAGCCCCCGCCCCGGCCCCCGCCGCCGCCCCCGGCCCCTGGCCAGATGAACGGTACGGTGGACCACCCGCCACCGCCGCCGGCCGCCACTGACCGCAAGCCACCGCCACCGGCCCCACACTGCCCCCGCCTGCCCCTCCGCAAGACCTACCGCGAGAACGTGGAGGCCCCAAGTGTTGGGGTGACTGAGGGGGCAGCAGCGGCAGCGGCCGTGGGCAGAACCCGGGGTGGCAGCCCAGTCCCGCTGCCCACCAAAGTGGACGAGGCCACCAGCGGGCTCATCCGCGAGCTGGCGGCGGTGGAGGACGAGCTGTACCAGCGGATGTTGAAGGCCGGGCCGGCCGAGCCTGCGGCGGGCACCGGGCAGGGTAGCGGCAGCCGGGAGCCCGGCTGGGAGGCGCCCCCGCTGCCCCCCGCCAAGCGGCGCAAGTCCGAGTCGCCCGATGTGGACCAGGCCAGCTTCTCCAGCGACAGCCCGCAGGACGACACGCTCACGGAACACCTGCAGAGCGCCATCGACAGCATCTTGAACCTCCAACAGGCCCCCGGCCGGACGCCCGCACCCCCGTACCCCCACGCCGCCCCGGCGGCAGTCACGCCCACCTCCCCGACGCCCCTGCACAGGCCGGAGGCCTACCCGCCCTCCAGTCACAACGGTGGCCTCGGTACCAGGACGTTGAACAGATAACACCGGGCTGGACTTCCCTTCCCCGTCCCCTCGCTCCGCAGGGACGCAGCGGGGAGGGGGGAGGGGGGCAGCCGGGCGTCTGACCTCAGCCTCCTGGCGGACACGAGCCGGGGACCCCTTGAGTTTTTCTTGCCTAAGTTATTTGAGTCACAAAGGCCTCGTCCCCCCCACCTCCTGCTTCAGCCGGGTGGTTGGGTGGGGGTCGTGGATTTCGGGGAGGGGGGCTGTAATGTACAAGGTCCCCCCTGCCAAAGGGGGGGGGTAATCCTGGTGTGTCATCTCCTATTTCTTCCCATTTCCTGCCACGCTCCGCCCCTCGGCCGGGGGGGGGACACGTGCGCATTGGCCAGGGAGGAGGGCTCCCTGGCGGTCCCCACCGCTCACGCGCATCCAGGTGCCCAGTTCGCCCACGTGGCTTCAATCTGTCCCTGCGCCCGTTGCTGGCAGGGTCGCGTCTCTCCAACGCCCCCCACAGGCCGAGACAGGAAACGCAGGGAAAGAGCGGCATGAGCCTGCCTCCCGGGACCCCCACCTGGCAGTGCGTGCCCGCGGGCACCCGTGTCGCATCCGTGTGTGTGTCCCGCTCCGTGTCCTGTGTCCCTCTGTATGTGCTCGAGTGAGAAAGATTTCAAAGCCTCCAGTCCCTCGACTGAAATCTGAGCACCTCCCAAACAAAACCGGGATCTTTTACCCCCTTCCCCAGTCTTCCCCCGTCTGTTCTTCCTGCCGCCAGCCACCTGCGCCAGATTTTGAAATCTTGGAGACAAAACTAGTACTGTAAGATAAATTTTTTTGTACTGTATTTATTGTGTATAACGATTTTTTAAAAAGGAGAATTCTGTACATTTAGAACTCTTGTAAATTAAAAAGCGATCCTTTTTTTAAAACTGTACTGACGGCCCCCCGCCCGCATTGCTTTGGGATTTTCGGGACCTTGTTTGGAGTCTGCGGGTTGGGCCTACAGGTGGGTGGAGAGGGGGATTGTGGGGACTTACTACCCATTCATTTGTGAGCCCCTGCTGGGGGCCAGGTCCTATTCTAGGCACCACAAGGGTGCAGCTGAATATGATGGAAATGCCTGTTCTGGGAGGCCTGACTTCTTAGTGGAGGGGGCAGTCAGTGGAAAACTCAATCAGCCAGGTGTTTTCATGTCATTCCGGGTGGGGTTCTGTGGTCTCCGGAGCACAGAATTTGTCAATATGCAACCATCCCTCCTGGGAAACATACAGGGCTAGCTTCTGGCCAACCTCTGATCACATTTTTGTCAAACCCTCAACACATCACTTTGTTTTATGTGTTTTCTGTTTAAAGACCCTTCACTTAATATATAGTGTTGATTCATTAACACTGATCGAACAGCCAGCAGCATTAACTCGTGCCTGAATGAAGCTTCCGTAACACGGGCTTTCTCTGTAAGGCACATCCAAGCCTTCTTGGGCTTAAGAACTCAAGAACCCCGGGGCCATTTAAAAGTGAAATCTACAAAAGCACCAAAACGCGAATACATCCACAAAAGGATGCTTCTTGTCAAGTAGGAGAGCGTCCTCACCTGTTCAGCGCTCAGTCGGAAATGTGCCTGCTGGGTGACTCAACGTTTTCGCCACTCTGCGCATGTCCGTGGAAGTAGCACGGGTTTTTGGCAACAGACAAAATTTTCAACAAGTAGATGAATTCACAAGCAGGGTACCTACTAATAAGTGAGAATTGACTAAATGTGTACAGTACCAGAGATATGTGGGGAATCAAGCAGGATATGTTAGCTTCCCCTGGATACAATAAAAAAGTACCTCCAGGGACTTCCTCATGGTCCAATGGTTAAAACTCCACGCTGCCAAGGCAGGAGGTGTGGGTTCCATCCCTGATGGCGGAACTAAGGTCCCACATGCCACGTGGTGCAGCCAATAAATAAATAAAATCACTTTATATGAAAAAAAGAAAAAAAAACACCCATTTGGGTGGGTGGCTTAAAAGAAATTCATTCTCTCCGTTCCACAGGCTAGAAATTCCAAATCAAAAGTGTGGTCAGGGCCACAGTTCCCCTAGAGACAAGGGGAGGGTCCTTCCTTGCATTTCCAATCTCTGGTCATCCCAGGTCTTTTTTGGGTTGTAGCTACATCCCTCCAATTCTCTCCTTCTGGGCCATTTCCCCTCTGCATCGGTGTGGCTTCTCTTATGAGGAAACCAGCCATATTGGATTTGAGCCTACACTACTCCAGTATGTGCTGGTCTTAACTTGATTACATCTGCAAAGACCCTGTTTCCAAAGAAGATTACAAATTCACAGGTAATTCACTCGGGGTTAGGACACTGGCATATCTCTTGGGGAGACGCAACTCAATTGGTCACAGCAGCTACTTGTTCCTACAACCCTTTTGTGTGAACTTGAAAACGGCACCCCCTTTCTCTGGGAATTTGGAGAGCAGCACATGACCCAGATTCCAGCCCCCTTCAATCAAGCTTTGTGCGGTGAACAACCTGCCCAACCTCACATGAAGGCCCTCAGGATCAACTGGGAAGGGAAGACTTCTTCAAGGAGGTGGCATCTGAACAGAGAACTGCATGAAAGAAGAGAGGGGACCACGGGAAGAGAGCACCCAAAGCAGCGAGAACAGCCAGTGCAAAGGCCCTGAGGCAGGAGCACGGATGGAATGTAAAACCACCAAATGGGTCTGTGATTGGAACCTGGGGAGAACGGGTTGCAGACAATAGGTGAGTTCAGTGGGAACAAAGTGGGGCGCTCCTGTAGGATCCTATAGCTCCACGCTGAAAACTTTGACTCTCAAGAATGAGGCAGGAGCCACCGGCAGGTTCTGAGCAGAGGGCTGTGAGCGGACTTCGTTTTCCCAGGCGCCCTCTGGCGGCCATGTGCGCAACCTACAGGGCGAGGAGGCAAGGGCCACAGTCAGCTGGACTAGGGTGATCCACCCCGTTCCTCAGCAGGTTCCTGGGGGTGTTTGGGAGGGGAAGAGCATATATCTGGGATCTCCAGGAAAGAGACCATCGCCACTTCCTAGCTCTAGACCTACTTCCTCCGCGTATGTAATAAAGCACTAAAGGAGAAGAGCGGTTCACAACATCCTTGAATCCCCGCTCCTGGAAGACCTCACATGGCCGAGGAAAGAAGTTTGCCGGTCATTTCCACCGGCTAACACTGGAAGGGTAGCTGAATGCAGCTCGAGCAGAGGAACATGATGACTGACGTTTCCAGAACACTTACCTTGGGCATTGCTCCCAGCTCTTCACCTGGGATATCTTATTTGATGCTCACAGAAGCTCCTGTGTGGGAATTGATAACCCCAACTTGCAGATGAGGAAACTGAGGCCCCAAGGGATGTAGTAAGTAGCAGACTGGGCTGCAAGCCAGGCGGTCTGGCTGGGAGCTTGCAATCTTCCCCTGTGCACACCCAGCCTGGGGGGAGGGGTGTATACAGCAACAAGGCCTTGGCCAGTCTGCTGTGCAGAAGCCAGAGGCAGCCCCCTCCCCACTCCCCGGGGTATGAGACCAAAGCTGACCTCAGCTTCTACAGGTAGTCTTTGGCATACGCGCTCTTAGATGCTAGATGCAGCAGAGTGGGCATCTGGAGACGGTGTCTGTGTTCAGTTGTTCAGTCATGTCCAACCCTTTGTGACCCCATGGACTCTAACCTGCCAGGCTCCTTTGTCCTTGGGACTTCCCAGGCAAGAATACTGGAGTGGGTTGCCTTTTCCTCCTCCAGGGGATCTTCTTGACCCAGGGATGGAAACCGAGTCCCTTGCATCTCCTGTATTGGCAGGTGGATTCTTTACCACTGTGCCACCTGGGAAGCCACTTTCTACAGCTGAGCCATCTAGAAAAAGAGGCCAGAAATGACTAGCTCAGGGCCCAAATCACCTGGACATGGAGAACGACTGGAACCCAAGACTGACCAGAGTCCAAAGTGAATCACAGAACTACCAAGCTCACTGGCTGCTTTCTCCATTTTTTTTTTTAGTTGTGAAAAAATACCCATAATGTAAAATTTACCCTTGTAATCACATCAGCATTAAGACATTTACATTGTGCAATCATCAATCCTCAGAACTCATTTCATCGATTTTTTTTTTTTAATTTGGCTGTGCTGGGTCTTGGTTGCAACATGAAGGATTTTGTTTGTTTGTTTAGTTGCAACATGTGGGTTCATAGTTTCCTGACTAGGGATCAAACCTGGACTGCCTGCAATGGGATCTCAGAGTCTTAGCCATTGGACCACCAGGCTGGTAGTCAGCCTGGAAGTCAGGAACTCATTTTATCTTGCAGAATCGAAACTCTGTGCCCATGAAACCATGACTCCTGTTCCCACTCCACCTCCACCCAGCTCCCAGACGACCACCATTCCACTTTCTGTCTCTGTAAATCAGACTACCCTAAGCATCTTGTATGAGTGGAATCACAATATTTGTTCTTTTGTGAGTGGCTTATTTCACTCAACCTAACGTCTTCATTCATGTCATAAAATACATCAGTTTCTCCTTTCAGTTTTGACAGATTGGGGGGAGGCAGAGAAAAGAACATCTGAGCTTGTGCTTTGCAGTGGGGACTCCAGAGACTGCAAGGGCATCAAGGAAATTGGATGATACTGGGGACATATGTCAGAGACTCCCTGATTCGGAGGTCAGCAGGCAGCAAGATGCAACCCCCACCCCAGTTATTAAGGGCTCAAAGGGTATTTAATGGAGCAGAATTCATCAATGTGGAGCTTTTTCACTCCACTGACCCCTTCCTAGAATATTATGTTTAATGTACAAAATGAAACCCTCAGGATCACAAGGGAACCAATTATACTGAAATACAGTTATCAGTATTTTTTAATATCAACAAGGCTGTGACATGGTAATAGGGTCTGGTGTACCAGCACACGATTAGAAAGCTAGCTCGCAGTGGGTCTAATCAGTGATGAGTAAGCAATCACTGGAAATTCCAAACGCAGTGTGAGAACATTGAAGATTCCTCTTGATGATAGTCTGAAATCCTTGCTCTCACAGGATTCAGGTTCTCGTGAGGGAGACCCTCCCTGAAGCAGAGAAATGTAAACTATGGTGATAAAGGCTGCGGAGAAGAATAAAGCAGCAAGAATGGATGGATGGTGGGTATTGCATTAAACAGGGAGATCAGGGAGGGCTTCTCGGAGGAGGTGACATTTGGGTGGAGACCAGAAAGAAGGGAGGGAGGGAGGGAGGGAGGCAGTGAGGATGGGACTTCCCAGGTGGAGGAACAGCAAGTGCAAAGGGCCCTGAAGTTAGAGGGTTGTCTGAGGAGCAGTGGAGAGGCCAGTGTGGCCGGAGCTGAGTGATCGAGGGGGAGAGAGAGGGAGGAGAGGACACAGGGAGCCTGCAGATCTTTCAGGGTCTTCTGGGCCACACTGAGGGCTTTGGCTTCTGCTTTGAGTGAAAGAAGAACCATGGAGGGTTGTGAACAGAGGAGTTTTCATGCACTCGTTTCCGTTGAAAAAATTATTATGATTACTTAAAATTATTCTTGGTGGTGGTGTTACTGGTTTATTATTGCTGTTCCCATGTCAGGAAGGGAGACGGGGGTGGAGTTTGAACGCAGGACGGGAAACCCGCGCGCGCACCCATTTCGCAAAGGCACCCTGCCTGTCCCCACCAGGGGGCGCCAGAGGCCGGGCGCCCGGTTTGGGGGTGGGGGGTGCCTCGTCCCGCCCGCCCCCCCCGCCCCTCCCGTCCCTCCTCCCCGTTCTGGGCCCCACCCGGCTCAGACTGCTCCGGACGGGACCGCGAGCACAGGCCGCTCCGCGGGCGCCTCCGATCCCCGCGGGACCCCCGCCCAGCTCTCCCTTCCCGGTCCTGCAGTCTGCGCGCCCCCTCGGTGAGTGACCCCCAGCCGAGGCTGTCGCCTCCCAGCCTCCGCCCGCGGAGCCCTCGAGCCTGCCCTGCCTCTGGATCACTCCCCTGCTCGCCAAAGACACTCAGTCTCCACCCCAGGCAGTGTGCAGGGGTCTCAGTTCTCCCCAGCTGCTCCAGAAACCTCTCTATCTCCCTCACTGCCCCCCACCCCCCACCAGCCCCTTCAGTCTGTAACTGTGTTCCCCATGCTCCTCCTCCCTTCGCGCGTCCGTCCTTGCGGGCTCACTCCACCGCATTCATACACTTCTGTTCTATTCCTCCTCCCACCCCAAAAGCTCCGCTCCTACCTCACCAACCCCACTGCCTGTCCACCCACCCCAAAGCGTCCTCACTAAGATGCCCCCAGGTCCCTCCCCGTGTAGGACACCGCCCAGGGCCCCCTCCCTCTGCCGACGTCCCAGGTCTTGGCTGCAGCCTCTCCTTCACCTTTCTGGCACACTCTCCCTGAATTCTCCCCCTCCCACACGCGCACTCCTTTTTTTTTTTTTTTTTTTTTAAAGCATGGTTATGATTTTATAGATTTTAACATATTGGATGTGCAGTTCTTTTTGGTGCTCAAATTGTCCCATCTTTGGCCAGTGGGAGTCCTGTCGAGACTGTGACATGCCCCATCCTGGTTTGAGCATTTCCCCACTATCTGACCCAGACTCACTTGTTCTTTCCCTGCCTCAGCCCCGGAATTAGCCATTTCTCCCAGAAGCCTCAGTTTCTCTTTTAGTGGAAAATGGTATCTAGAGACTCCAAACTGGCCAAAAGTCGGTTCTGTACAAAGATCAGTAAAATTATCAGCATCCACTTAGGCTGATCAAGGGGGAAAAAAGAAAGAAAGCAAAGACACAAATGAATGATAATCAAGAATGAAAGGGGGAAGGGGGACATCACTACGGATCCTACAGTGAATGAAAGGCTAGTAAGGAGATGTAGAGAATACAGTCTAGGTGCTGGGGGTACTGATTGCTGCTGGGTTGGTAATCTGTTCTCTCCCTAACTCCTTAGATCTGTGATAGGAGTGTTGGCTCTGAGGTCAGGTTACCTGGAGTCCCAGCTTGAAGCACTTGCTAACAAAGTGACCTCAGGGAAGTTATACTATCTTCCTGAACCTCTATTTCCTTATCAGAAAAGTGGAGGTAATAATAGCCTTACCTTACAAGGCTGTTGTGAAGATTAAATGCGTTAAATCAGTGTCTGGCATGCAGTGATCACAAATGTTATTATTCTTGTGAACGATAACACCATGATCTGGGGGGAATCCAGGCAGTATTGAGACTCATTTCTCATCCTTGTGCCCACATGCTCAGCCACTCTGTCCATCCATTTTTACAGTTCCAGGTCCTGAAACCCACCATCCTCTCTGCCTAAATGCCCTTGTCACTCTTCAGGGAGCAGCTCAGAAGTCAGTCCGGGGGGCTTCCCCTGTGGCTCAGCTGGTAAAGAATCTGCCTGAAATGCAGGAGACCTGGGTTCAATCCCTGGGATGGGAAGATCTCCTGGAGAAGGGAACAGCTACCCACTCCAGTATTCTGGCCTGAAGAGTATGTATGGGAAAAGATTCCACAGGACACAACTAAGACATGGTACAGCCAAATGAATAATAAATGTGGAAAGAAAAGAAAGTCAGCCCAGCCAGAGCTTTCCTAATCCTGTGATTGGTTCACCCTGTCCCCCTCTGGTGCCTACAAGTCCACCACCCAGCTTTTCCCAGGCCTCGTTGACTGCTCGGTGCCTTGGTTCTCTCCAAATGGAGGCTCTGAGTGTGTGGGGACTGGTCTCTGGTCTATTTTTGGATCCATACCTCTTGACACATGGTGCGATTTCAGTGAAAACTGCAAAATAATGGAAGGGGTGGGGATGGAGAAAGAAAAAGACAAAGGAATCCTTTTCTTCAGATCAGCTTCTGCATCCTTCCCCTTGTTTATCTCTTGGGCTTCCACCACCAATCTCGCTTCTTCCAGCATGCCATTGTTAACTCTCTTTCTCTTCCTCCAGCTGGAATAATCACCTTCTTCCTCCTTCAGCCGTCAACACCTGCCATCCACCCTCAGTGCTCTCAGAAGCTCTCCGCACCCCCCACCTCATCCCACCACACTTCTCCATCGATTCTACCTTCTGGCTCCCTTTCTTCTCCACCTCCTCCTCCAGGCAGTCCCCCATCAACATCCTCTCCTCCCACAGGTAGCCCTCGCGCTGTGCATCTCCGTCAGCGAGCTCAGCGGGCAGTGTGCAGCCACCATGTTCAGCTGGCTGAAGCGGGGCGGGGCTCGGGGCCAGCAGCCGGAGGCCATCCGCACAGTGACCTCGGCCCTCAAGGAGCTGTACCGCGAAAAGCTGCTGCCTTTGGAGGAGCACTACCGCTTCGGGACCTTCCATTCTCCGGCCCTGGAGGATGCTGACTTCGACGGCAAGCCCATGGTGCTGGTGGCCGGCCAATACAGCACGGGCAAGACCAGCTTCATCCAGTACCTGCTGGAGCAGGAGGTGCCTGGCTCCCGGGTGGGGCCGGAGCCCACCACCGACTGCTTCGTGGCTGTCATGCACGGTGATACGGAGGGCACCGTGCCTGGCAACGCCCTGGTTGTTGACCCGGACAAGCCCTTCCGTAAACTCAACCCCTTTGGGAACACCTTCCTCAACAGGTGTGCAGCCAGCAGCCCGGAGGGTGTCTTCCTCTCCCTGGGCCCCATCTTTGTCCCATCCCTGCCAGTGTCTTTCTGCTTTTCAGTCCTAATCCCCTTCTCTCTACTAGAGCCTTCCTCTTCTTGCCTTCTCTTGGGGAGCAGTTAAGCCAGTGACGCCTGAGTTCGACTCCTGTCTGGCTGTCTAGCTGGATGACTTTGGGCAAGCAGCTTAACCTCTCTGTTTCTTATTCTCATCTGGAAAATGGGGATAACCATAGTCCTCCCTCCATAGGCCTGTTGTGGGGACTAGATGAATGAAAACGTACAAAGTGTTTAGAACAGCACCCCGCACAAAGTACGAGCTCAATTAACATCAGCTCTGATTTTTTTTGTTTCTTTTTAGAGTCCTTATTCTCTGTCCTGATCTTCCTTTTCTCTTTCTAGATTCTTCCCCTCTCCGAACCTGATTCTCCTCCGTGCAAGTCCCGGGTTCCCTTCTCATGTGTCCCCTCCTCCTACCAGTCCTTGCATTGACCCCTGATCTTCCCTCTGCCCCAGGTTCATGTGCGCCCAGCTCCCCAATCAGGTCCTGGAGAGCATTAGCATCATCGACACCCCGGGGATCCTGTCGGGGGCCAAGCAGAGAGTGAGCCGTGGTGAGTGAGGCTGGACCCCTAGGTCTGAGGGAGGAGGGCCCAGGGTCGCTGCTAGGACTGTGTGGGCCGGCCCTGAGCTGGCTGCGTAGCAGAAGGGAGCTGGTGGAAGGCTGTGACTCCTCCGAGCTGGCGTGCGCTGAAGGGTGGGGGAGGCGTGTGGATGAACACGTGTGAACCCGCTGCGGCTGCATGTCAGGGCGGGTCCAAAGGATGGGGGGGGGTGGGGAGAGGGCAGAGAATGAGAGAGGGAGACTCAAAGGTGGACAGAGATTCAGAGGGCGAGGCCGGAATCCAGAGAGAGGATCCGGAGAGATGGGAGACCCAGCGAGAAGGCAGAGCCGGGCGGGGAGGCCCTGGGCCGCTGTCAGCGCCTGGCTCCACCTCTGGGCCACGGATGGGGCTGAGGAGGGCCCGGGACGGGGAGTCTGGGCAGGGGCCAAGGGCGGCCAGGAATTTATAAACAGCTGTGCGGGGAGAGCGGTGGGGGGAGGGGTGAATTCCAGCAGGGCCTCCGGGTGAGCCCGGCCCCCACCCCTGCCCCGCCTGGCTCGGTCTCCGCGCCGCACCCCCCTCATTTTTAGCCCCTTCCACCCCTGCCCCGCGAGGCCTCGGAGGCCAGAAACTGGGGCAGAGGAGGCTGCAGTGTGGGGCAGAGGGGACCGGGAGGCCTCGGCGAGGAGGCAGGGAGGCTGGGCCTCGCTCCGGCGAGGGCGCGGAGGGTTACCGGTGTCCCTGGCGGCTGCCCAGCAGGCGCCTGTCCCCCGGGAGAGGGGCAGGAGACAGCTGCACAGGACATGGGGGAGGGGGAGGTGAGCTGCCAGCCCGATCGGGGAGGCAGGGGGCGGGGCAGGGGGTCCCTCGGGAGAGTCGGAGGGGGGCCACTTCGAGTCCTGGCGGGGATGCCAGATGGAGGCCCAAAGGAAGTGGGGTAGAGAACGGGGGTCTCTTTCTGTGGCTGCGGGAGTAGAGGAGGAGGAGAGTGTGTCTGTCTGTCTGTCTGTCTTGAGGGTGAGTGTGTGTATGAGCGTCTGTGCCCGTGTGGGTGGCTCGGTGTGACTTTGGGCAGCTCCAGGGGCCTGGGGGGCGGGGCGGCGCTTGTGGAATTGGGTGTGACTGTGACTGACCATGTCTCTGTAGGTAGATGTATTGTGAAATGTGTGGTTGGTGTGTTGTGCAGGGGAACTTTTCTGTGACTGTGGATCATTTAGTGTGTGTCTGGGAAGGTGTGTGGGATTCCCAGGTGGCTCAGTGGTAAGGAACCCGCCTGCCAATGCAGGAGATGCAGGTTCGATTCCTGGGTGGGGAAGATCCCCTGGAGGAGGAAGCAGCAATCTACTCCAGTATTCTTGCCTGGAGGATCCCATGAACAGAGGAGCCTGGCGGACTGCATCCGTGTAACTGTGGGTGTGACTCTGAGGTGTCAGCGCTGTGCCTGTGTGTGTTGTACCTGTGTGTGGCCCTGTAGGACTGAGATGATTTTGTTAGATTGGGTATAACCGCATCTCTGTATACAGTTGTGCCCTTGTGTGTACAAGTGAGAATGTGTGTGTGTGCATGAGTGTATCTTTTGTGTAACTGTATATCATTGTGTCCTTTGTTTGGTGGGTGTGCAGGTGTGCACAGGCGCGTTGCATGCCTGCTCCTCTCTATCTGTTATGTTGTGTGGGTCTCACAACATCTTTGCCATTGTGTGACCTTGGATATCTATGTAGGTTCCAGATTGCTCTCGAGGGTGTGTGTGAGGGTCTGCATCTTGTAGCGTGTGACTCGGATGGTGTCCAGGTGTATGCTTGCTCCTGAGTGCACGTGTGTATGTGCATGTGTGTGTGCACTGCTGGAACATGTAGCCTCTGTAGAATATCTGTGAATGCACAGGTGTGTGACTGTAGCAGAGGGGAGCCTTCTGGCAGGGTTCAAATCTGGCCTCTGCTCCTTCTAAGCTGTGAGACCTCGGCCGAACCACTTAACCTCCCCGTGCCTTAGTTTTCTCACCTGTAAAATGGGAACATGATAGTCTCATGACATGCCTTGTTGACTTCCCCAGTGGTCCAGTGGTTAGGACTCCATGCTTCCATTGCAGGAGTGTGGGTTCAACCCCAACAGGGGGCTAAGATCCTGTAGCCTGCATGCCACGTGGCGAGGCCAAAAAAAAGAGTCAAACTGTGTGAGGCACTTAGAGCAGTATGTGGCCTGCAGGAGGTGCTACGGAAGGTCCTGTGATGACTGCTTTTCGTCTGTGAGGCTGTCATTGTGCACCTGGGGTGTCTGCCTGCCACGTCTCCCATTCCCATGCTGACTCAACCTCCGTCCCTCCCTCCCTCCCTGCATGAGACACACTTTCCAAATCTGGACGTGTGTGTGTGTGTGTGTGTGTGACATTGCGGACAGAGGAGGGGCCCTAGCTTTGGTCCCTCTGTTGACCTGGCCCTCCCTCCCCACAAAACAGCGTCCCCCACCCCCTCCCGTCCCATCCAGTCCCCTGTGGCTATAGGAACCTGCTTGCGCCCAGGCAGGATGGGCCTGGCATCAGCTCCCCAGCAGAGCATGGAGGCCCCTGGGGCTGCGGCTCTGTGCTTCTGTGTCTGGAGCAAATTAACCAGTGGACTCCTTAACCACTCTGTTCCTCAGTTTCCTCTTTTGGAAAATAGAGGTCATAAGCGTGCTTGTCCCCTGGAGTTGTTTTGAAGATTCAGTGAGTTGAATCGGGGAGGGCATGAGGTGACTTCTGGTGAATCAGCCATGGCTCTCTGTCCCACCAGTTAACTCCTCACCCCCCAGATCACCACTCAATGTTTCCTCCTCCGGGAAGCCCTCCCTGACCACCCAACCTGGGTGGTCAGGCACCCGTCTCCGGGCTCCTGCGGCTCCCTGGATTTTCCCATCCCAGACTGGCCACTCTGGACAGTAAGCCCAGTGAGGACAGAACTGGGGCTGTCTGAGCCACCCTGTGTGCCCAGCAGAGAGCAGGCTGCTCTGAGGGCCGCTCTTGGATGGCTCCATCGCAGTGTCTCGCAGGCACTGTGAGGAACTTTTGTGGATTGCTCGCCGTGTGCCTAGCTCCGTGGGGTTTTCTGGTTAGTTTTTAATGTTTATTCATTTGGTTGCATCGGGTCTTAGTTGCAGCATGTGGGCCCCAGAGCGTGTGGGCTCAGTAGCTGCGCTGAGTGGGCTAAACTGTTGCACAGCATGTGGGACCTTAGTTCCCCACCGGGGATCGAACCTGTGTCCCCTGCTCTGCAAGGTAAATTCTCAGCCACTGGACCACCTGGGAAGTCCTTGTTGTGTTTTTGTTTTGTTTTTTAAAAGTTTTGTTGTATAATTTACATGCCTAAAGCTCATTCCTTTTAAGTGTATAGTTCAGAGCCAGGCACTTTTTAAGCTCTTCATATAGCTTAGCTCATGTGTATTCTTTCCATCTTCACACAGTCCTAGGAGGTAGGTTTTATGATTATTTTAATTTTACCAAAGAGGAAACAGAGGTTCAAAGAGGTTACTTGCTTCCTTAAGGTCACCTAGCAATAGAAGCAGAGTCGGGATTCAAACCCAGGCCTTCCCCGACTGCCAAGTGAGGGGGTCTCAATGGCTCCTATCTGCTCTCCCAAGCATCGCTTGCTGCAGAATGAATGAGTGAACGAAGAAATGAATGGTGAAAGGAATGAATGAATGGGCCCAGGAGCCAGCTGTTGGTGGGATAGGTGCCCTACAAAGGCAAGGACTTTGTGTGTTCTCTGTGGGATCCCCAGTGTCCAGGACAGGGCCCAGCACACAGGAGATTTTTGGTACTTTATTGTTAATAAATTTATAATATTTAACATATGCTATGACAAGACTCTAATAAGGGCCCATATAAAATCTTCAGTTGCTGGATGGTAGGGCGATCTGACACATCCTGGGGAGGAGTTGGGGTTGATGGTGGCATTTGGGGGACTCAAAGGTCCATAGAAACATAGGGAGTTATTAGGAAACATTTCAGTGTTTTAATAAGGGGACCGATGCAAGCTGCTAATATTTGCCCAAAGAATGAATGGAAAGGTGAGGGGATGATTGTCCTCCGTAGTTGGATGGCTAGAGGGCCAGAGTGATGGCGAAATTCCGGAGGCTGAGGGCCTGGAGCTATTTCCCACAGACAAAATTTTCAGTGGTTAACAACCTGAACATCTGTACAGTCCAGTTTGAGCCAAAAACAATGAATGTGTCCCAGTGGCTGAAGGCTGGGGGCTGACCTCTGCTTTGGGGGACTGGAGCCCCTGTGACTGAGTGGTAAAAAAATCCGCCTGCAGTGCAGGAGACACCAGAGATGGTTGGACCCCTGGGTGGGGAAGATCCCCTGGAGGAGGGTCTGGCAACCCCCTCCAGTATTCGTGCCTGGAGAATCCCATTGGACAGAGGAGCCTAGGGGGCTACAGTCCATGGGGTCGCAGAGTCAGACACGACTGAAGCGAGCACGCAGGCACACGCCCCGTACCACCCCTCTCTTGCAGGCTACGACTTCCCGGCTGTGCTGCGCTGGTTCGCGGAGCGCGTGGACCTCATCATACTGCTCTTCGATGCTCACAAGCTGGAGATTTCGGATGAGTTCTCGGAGGCCATCGGCGCCCTGCGAGGCCACGAGGACAAGATCCGTGTGGTGCTTAACAAGGCCGACATGGTGGAGACGCAGCAGCTGATGCGTGTCTACGGGGCGCTCATGTGGGCGCTGGGCAAGGTGGTGGGCACACCCGAGGTGCTGCGCGTCTATATCGGCTCCTTCTGGTCCCAGCCACTGCTGGTACCGGACAACCGGCGCCTCTTCGAGCTGGAGGAACAAGACCTTTTCCGGGACATCCAGGGCCTGCCGCGCCACGCGGCGCTGCGTAAGCTCAATGACCTGGTGAAGAGAGCCCGGCTGGTGCGGGTGAGCAGTGATGGGGGGTGGGGAGGCAGTGGCCGCTCTTGCCTTTTCTCTGATCCTCCTCTGCTTGGCTGCTGGTCCCTGATCTGGCATCAGCTCTCTGGTGAGTTAGTTCTCTAATCTGAGAAAGTTCTCCTGTTGTGCCTGGCCCTCTGCCAGGTGGTACTGGGAAGGGAGCTCTGACCACGTCAGTCCAGGGGAGAAGACTGTTTCATCCCCAGAGTGACCATCCGGCATGGTCAGGGCTGAGAACTGGGGAGCCCAGGGGAAAGCCCTGGAGAACTTCTTGGAGGAGAGAGCATCTGAGCTGCAAACTGGAGGATTATGAGGATGAGGAGGGGAAAGGATTCTAGAAAATGGGACCAGCAAGTGCATGGACTGGCGATGAGAACATGGCAAGTTCGAGGAAGTGGGGGAATGCCAGTGTGGAAGCCAGTGTAGATGGTGGGAGTAATGGCATCTGGGGGGTGGGGGTGGGGTGGGTGAGAGTCAGATCACCCCGGACTGTGGTCTGGAGCCTGTGCTTTGTCCCAAGGGCACTGGGGAGCCACGGAAGGACTCAGGGCAGGGGAGGAACAGGATCAGACCCTCGCTGCCTTCTGGAAGGTGGATCCAAGGGCAGTAAGACTGGGTTCCCAGACTAGGGAGGAGGCTGGGGGACCAAGGAACAAGGAGGAGCCTGGATCAGGACATAGCCTCGGGGAAGGGGAGGGGAGCACTGATTTAAGAGCGTTTTTGGAGGCCGAATGGAACATTCGCAGGGGAGGCTGCCAGCCAGGCTGGAGGTGGGGCAGGAAGCCGAGCAGGCAAGGAGGCCTGGAAGGTTATGGGGGTGGAGGAGCCTGAGGTGTTGGTTTAAGGAGCAGCAGAGGGGGTGAGTCAGAGCCCCCAACCCCCACCCCAGGAATCCTCCTTAGGAGGGAGCGGCCCAGTGTGGTCAGCTCCTGAAGCCTCCAGAAAACACCTTTCTCTCCTCTGCCCAGGCCCTGGACTGTCTCTGTCTGTCTCTCTCTAGATCTCTTCATTTCTACCTCTTTCTGTTTTTTTTTTCTCTTATTCTTTTTTCCCTCATCATTCTCTTTTCTCTTTCTCTCCTCTCTTCATCTTTTCCCTTCCTCGGTCTCCCCCTGGTTCACCCGCTTCCCCCATGGACCCCAGTCCCGCAGGCCCCTCGGGGAAGCCGACAGCAGCGGGAGCTAGAACTCCAAGGTCCGTGGGAGCGAGGGGCGGGGTGGGGCCGGACACCTGGTGCCCCCACCATGCAGGAGGCGGCTCCGGAAACCCAGACAAACCCCGGAGTCCCGGACCCGCGCCCCGGCTCAGCCCGCCCACCCACCTTATCTCTTCCTGGCACCTTCCCCCGCTTCCTCTCTGGAAAAGCCATTAGCGCCCTCCCTCCTCTCGTCTTCTGGGTTGCAGAAGAGCGGCCCTTAGGCTCCGCCCCCTCTCCCCATTGGCCCGCTCTCGCAGGCCCCACCCACCGGGCTGGCCACACCCCTGCCCTGATTGGCCCCCTCAGACCTGCAGACCACGCCTCCCCCTTGCTCCTGCAGCTCCTCTGTGGTTCCCCCGTGCTACTGAAAATACGGGGTCTGCTGCGACCAAGCCTCGGTGCCCTTTCCTGCCCTGTGTCACCCGCTCATCCCCCACGTGTGATTCTGCCACACCTGGTCCAGCCATCAAACAACAGCCCACTCCATTCACCTCCCCACCTGCTTTCCCCCAACAGTACAAGGCCTCGCCTCACTCTTGGTAACTACCCCTCTATGCCTCAGTTTCCCTGTCTGTAACGATCTAGGATGTGGGTGAGCCCTCTGGCTCTGCCCTTTGTTTGAAGCGACAGCTGCTGTTAGAAGGGGCGATTTCCATGGGCTGTGTGATGCTTGAACACAGGTCAAGACCCTTGATGGGCAGGGTCTTGGGAGGTTCTGGTTCTAAAGAGGCCAGGATGCCCTGAGCCTTCCTACAGAGCTGAGGCAGCTCAGTAGCTTTCATTCCACAGATTGTGACCGAGGGCCGACAGTGTGCTCCTTTACCGTTCTAAACGGTGGAGATGCCGCAGGAAACAAAAACAGATAGTTTCTTTTCTTGTAGAATTGCTTTTTAATGGGGGAGTGAGTATAAAATTCAGCTCTAATACACTGAATGTGATAAGGATTATGAAGAAACATGAAGCAGAGGAGAGACTGGTGGGCTATTTAAGGGACTAAGGTCATCAGAGAGGGTCTCCTGGAGGAGGTGATTCTCAAGCAGAGAACTAAAGGAGGGGGAAGGGTAGACAGAGTGGAGATCTTGGGGAGACTATACCCAGGCAGAGGAAACAACAAGTGCAAAGGCCCTGAAACCAGGACATGCTTGAATATGGAGCCCTGGAGGAGACAGGATGGTGGAGACGAAAGGATATGAGGATTCAAAGCCAGCCCAGGTGCCACCAGAATGTTTAGCGTTCTAAACCTATGACTCACTAAAAGGAATTTTTAGCGAGTGTTTTTAATTGAACATTTAAGACCATCTCATGGGAAAGCACTCATGTACTGTCAAAGGTGCCCCCTCCCACCCCTGACCCCAACAGCCCTCAGGTTCTCTTTCTTGCAGACAACCCCCAAGAATAGTTTCTTCTTTTTCCAGATACATTCTATTTTTACTTAAGCATATCCATTTAATTATTGAGCTTCCTATTTAAAAATAGGGCTTCCTTGGTGGCTCAGATGCAAAGAATCCTCCTGCAATGCGGGAGACCTGGGTTCCATCCCTGGGTTGGGAAGATCCCCTGGAGGAGGGCATGGCAACCCACTCCAGTATTCTTGCCTGGTGAATGAGCATGGATGGAGGAGCCTGGTGGGCTGTAGTCCATGGGGTCTCAGAGTCAGACACAACTGAGCGACTAAGCACAGCACATTTAAAAACAGGACATGTGAATGCTGGTTTTCTCTCCTGGTTTACTTTTTGATAACATACGAGTTTGTGGCTCAAAGGTTCTCAGGTTCACTGGTTTACTTCACAAATATTTCTTGAGTCTTTTCTCTGCACACTGTGCCAATGCTGGGGACAGAGGAAACAGAGAAGGTCCCAGCCCTCCTGGAGCGCACGTTCTGATGGAAGGAGACAGAATAAGTAAATGATGATGGACTGGGATAAGTGCTGTGAATGAAACAATGAAAGTAAAGATTGAAAGAAATTGGATGGTGGTGCTTGGGGCACCTGCTTTCCCACAGGATGGTCTCTGGGAGGAGGTGACATCAGAAGGAAGCTGAAGGGTGGGATTTCCTGGGTGGCCCGGCTGTTAAGCCTCTGCCTTCCAGCACAGGGGGCACAAGCTCAATCCCTAGCTGGGGAACTAATAACTAAGATCCACATGTAGCCTGGTGCGGCCAAAAAAAGAAAAAGGAAGCTGAAGGACTCAGTTGTTGGAAGACCAGGGTGGAATTCCAGGCAGAGGGTAGCATGTGCAAAGTCCTTGATGTAGGAAAGAGTTTTGCAGGCTGATATAAAAATGAAAAAAAAAAAAAAGAAGGCAGTTGAGGAAGCTGGAGCAGATAGGGGCAGGGGGCAAGGCATGCAGAGCAGTGCTTCTCAAACCTTTCCATCTCAGGACCTCATTACACTCTTAAATATTACTGAAGACCCCAAAGAGTTTGTATATACACAGATTAGATCTTTATTTATTAACCATATTAGGAAACTGAGGGAATTCGCTGGTGGTTCAGAGGTTAACACTTGGTGCTTTCACCACCATGGCCTGAGTTCACTCCCTGGTCAGGGAACTAAGATCCCACAAGCCTCGTGGTGCAGCCCAAAAAAGAAAAAGTTAAAACTGAGAAAACGTTTCACTTTCTCTCATAATATTAATTAACCAACAATACTTACATTGGCCTCACCATGAGGCTTGTAGGATCTTACTTCCCCAACCAGGGATTGAACCTGAGCCCTTGGCAGTGAAAGTGTGGAGTCCTAACCACTGGGCCACTGGGGAATTCCCACAAAATACTTACATACTTAATAGTAGATAACAATTTATTATAAATGTTATCAATACATTATTGATCATGCCAATGTATATTAACAGATATTGATAGTCTTATCAAATCATTTAAAATAGCAAGAAAAACCTACTGCCTGTTAACCTAAGTAACAGATGTTTTGGGCTCCCCTGGTGGCTCAGATGATAAAGAATCTGCCTGCAATGCAGGAGACCTGGGTTTGATCTCTGGGTCAGGAAAATCTCCTGTAGAAGGAAATGGCAACCCACTCCAGTATTTTTTTTTTTTTTAATCCATTCCAGTATTCTTGCCTGGAGAATCCCATGGACAGAGGAGCCTGGTAGGCTACAGCCCATGGGGTCACAGAGTCGGACATGACTGAGCGACTAAGCCCGCTAACACACAACAGATGTTTTATGAAAATTAACTGTTTTCCAAAACCCCCCAAAAAAACAATTTAGAGAGGACAGTGGCCCTGTTTTACATGTTTGCAAATCTCTTTAATGTCTGGCTTCAAAGGCGACATCTGGATTCGAACATCTGTTTCTACATTCAGTTAGTTGCAGGATCTTTTAGCCTTTAACAATTGCACGATTCACTCAGGAGGAAATGAAGGTCAAAAAGACGCATAGCACCTCAGCATTCTTGTGAAAGTAGTTTTGAGTGTGCAAACCCCTAAAAGAGTCTTGGGGACCCCCTGGGGATTCCCTGGACCACACTTGGAGAATTGCTGCCATAAGGCCTTGGCGGCTGTGGGAGGAATTTTGCACTTGGATAAGAAGCAAATTGAGACTTGGGAGCAGTGTCTCATGGTCTGGCACTTGTTCCTAAAAAAAAAACAAAAAACTCCAGCTGCTGCTTCATGGGGAAAGGATTGAAGGGGCCAGAGGGTGAGCCAGGAGTCCAGTGGGGTGACAAGTCTGTCCCCACCAGGCAAGAGATGGTGAGGTGGAGAGAAATGGGAAAGTGTAAGAGAGGTTTAGGAGTTTTGATGAAATGGATGTGACCAATGAGGAGGGAGGATCAAATCAGGAGTAATTTCCAGATCTCTGGGCTCCATTGGGCAGGCAGAGGTAGGGGGGGGTGCCATTTGCCTCCAGAGATGGGCATAGCTAAGGGTGACGCGTCGGGGGCAGGGCCTGAATTCCACCGCGGGCGTCCAGAGATGGAGCTGTCCAGGAATGTTGACAAGGCAGTCGGCTCTGAGTTGAGCTCCAGGGAGAGGCCGAGGCTGGTATGTAGACTTGGCAGTGGACGTGGAGGGATACTGAAGCCACGGGAGGGGCTGAGATGACCTAGAAGAGAGGGGCGAGCCCCTGTACTCATGGCAGCAGCAGCTCACCTGTAACTGTTAGAAATTCACACTCTCAGGCCCCACGCTGGACCTGGTGAATCGGAAACTCCAGCCAACCCATGTTTTAAGGAGCTCCCCACCCCGGGTGACAGAGGCAGGCTCAGGCGAGAACTCTTCTCCCTCCAGGTTCACGCCTACATTATCAGCTACCTGAAGAAGGAGATGCCCTCCGTGTTTGGGAAGGAGAACAAGAAGAAGCAGCTGATCCTCAAGCTGCCTGTCATCTTCGCCAAGATTCAGTTGGAGCATCACATATCTCCCGGTGACTTCCCGGACTGCCAGAAGATGCAGGTGGGTGGACGCCCAGGTGGGAGGGACAAGGGGTGATGGGAAGGTCAGCTTCCCTAGGCTCAGGATGGGGCTTCAAAAACTAGAGGGATGGATGGCAGGTTCCTGAAAGTACCTCCCACGAATGGTTCTGTGAGAGTATGGTTGTGTGAGTTAGGATAAGGGAGTGAAGAGAAAACCCAAAGTAATAGTGGCTTAATTAGGACAGAAGTTTATTTTTCTCCTTCATAAATATCTTGGAAGATGGTCCAGGGCTGGTTTAGGGCTTTACAGAATCAGGGACCCAGTTCTCTTCTGTCCATGCCTGGCCCATTCTCCTCCATGCCTGGCCTCCAGGCCCAAGAACCCCTCATGGTACAAAATGGCTGTGGAAACTCCAGCCATTGTGTCTGCATTCCAACCGGCAAGACGTGGGGGAGGGGGGAGCTAATAGTACAATCTCTCTAAGAACAACTTTTAGAACAGTGCCGTCCAGTACTACTTTCTATGATGATGGAAATGTTCTGTGCTTTGCTGTCCAATGTAGTGGGCACTAGCCACATTAAACCTGAACTTCTAGGTTTTAATTTTAACTAATTTAAATAACCACATGTGGCTACTATATTAACAGGGTTTTTCTGGAGGTGCAAGCACAACTGGTGTTGACTTCTGGTTGGCCAGAGCATAGTCACATGGCCACAGTGCTGTAAAGGAAGCTGGGAAGTGTAGTTTTTCCTCTAGGTGCCCAGGTAACATTGGGGGATTCTATAGTGAGGAGGAAGGGAAGATGGATATTGGGGGATCACTGAAGGCTCCTCCCCTGTTCAGGCCTAGGATTAGCCAGTGATGCGGAAAGCCCCGGGTCTGGGTGTGGCAGCCTGGGGTGAATGAAGAGCCGCTGGAGGTGAGCAGGGGCAGGAGCAACCAGTGGATGTGGGGACAGAGGTCCAAGCTCAGGCATAGAGGCGAGGACTAGCCCCTTGGCCAAGGCTTTGCTTTGAGGCTGTGTTGGGGTGATACTCAAAGCCTGTGACCTTTGGGTCTGCGATGTTTCTACCCCAAGACTGAGGAATTATAGTACAGTGAAATTCCTCTTGGCCACTGACTAGCTCCGTGAACCTGTGCAAGTCACCCTTCCTGAGCCTCAGTTTCTTCAACTGGAAAATGGGCATCATCCTGATTGTATCTACCCTGGATGCTGAATTGGCTGGTGTTTGTGACTTCCTCAGGACAGTATCTGGCACTGAGTTAGGGCTGGATCAAGGTTTCTCAACCTCTGAGCTACTGACATTTAGGACTAGATAATTCTTCATTGTAGGGGGCTGTCTTGTGCATTGCAGCCCCCTGGGTTTAGCAGCATCCCTGGGCTCTACTTGCTAGATGTCAGTAGTACTCCCAAATTACGACAGTCAGAAACATCTCCAGATATTGCCCACTGTCTCCTGGGGGATACCACCATCCCTGGCTGAGAGCTGCTGGACTCAATAAAGAGCAGCCGTAAAGATTACACTGATGTTTACTGAGCACTTGATCCAGAGGAATTCATTTAGCCTTTGCCACCTCCCAGTGAGGGGAGTGCTAGTTCTCAACCTGTTTTACAAATCTGAAAACTGACAGGGAAACCAGAGAGGTCAAGTCACTTTCCTGAGGATGCACAGCTCCCAAGTTACAGCTGGGCTGGAACCTGGGCAGTCTGGCCTTGGAGTCCTCCTCATTCACAACCATCACACCCCTGTCAGTTTTTCGTCGTTATGATTTTTTTTTTCGGGCCAGGCTGGGTCTTCGTTGCTGCTCAGGCTTTTCTCTAGTGGTGGTGAGTGGGGATTACTCTGGTTGTGGCGCGTGGGCTTCTCGCTGTGGTGTCTTGTTTCGGAGCACAGGCTCCACGGCAGGTTGGCTTCAGTAGTTGCTGCACGTGGGTTCAGTAGTTGCTGCACGTGGGTTCAGTAGTTGCGGCTCTTGGGCTCTAGAGCACAGGTTCAACAGTGCCGCACTCAGGCTTAGGTGCTCCGAGGCATGCGGGATCATCTCAGATCGGGATCACACCCGTGACTCCGGCATTAGCAGACAGATTCTTTACCACTGAGCCCCACCAGGGAAGCCCCCACACCCCTCTCTCTTTATGGTTTCTTATGATCTTTATGGCTTGGCTCTGGAAATTTAACCTGGCGCCAGAATGTGGATCAGTCTTTGCAGCGACTCTCCTGGTGCAACTGACTTGGCAACAGTGCATGTGAGAAGCAGGGTGACCACAGACTCCGTCCAGCAGCGGCTCAGCTCTTGCACCAGATGACTTCTTGCCTAGGGCCAGGATTCTGGGGTGGGGGGGAGTGGGGGGGCGGTCCCAGGATCTCCTGATGACTGTCCATCCCAAACCTAACCACCAAATAGGGAGCAAGCTGCTTAACCCTTTCTGTGTGGTGGGGTAACAGAGCCAGCAGGGTGGCAGGAATTGCATTTTCTTAACTTGCACGATGGTCGGGGGTGCTGGCTGGGTGGCTGGGGTGCCATAGCGGGTGGGCAGGGCTGAGGGCTGTGCTCTGGTAAAGCTCATGTCACCATGTTGAAATCCTCCTCCACTGGCTGGCGGACAGCTGCTGCTCTGAGTCAGAGGTCCCTGTTCTCCCTCTCGCCCAGTGAGTCACGGGGCGGTGGGACCTTACTGCCAAGTCTCTTCTGAGTGGTGGGTACCCAGGTGAATTGGGGTGATCCCCCATAATCAGATACTTCTGCCCGTCTCCATCAAGAGCTGCCCAAGTGTCCTGGAGCCAGCACGGGGCTGGGGGGCCTGGGGATGGTGCCTCCTGACTTGTCTGTGTCCCCCCTCTCCCCGCAACCAGGAGCTGCTGATGGCTCACGACTTCACCAAGTTCCACTCGTTGAAGCCGAAGCTGCTGGAGGCCCTGGATGAGATGCTGACCCACGACATCGCCAAGCTCATGCCCCTGCTCCGGCAGGAGGAGCTGGAGAGCACGGATGTGGGTGTGCAGGGGGGCGCTTTCGAGGGCACCCACATGGGTCCCTTCGTGGAGCGGGGGCCCGATGAGGCCCTGGAGGACGGCGAGGAGGGCTCGGATGACGACGCCGAGTGGGTGGTGACCAAGGACAAGTCCAAGTATGATGAGATCTTCTACAACCTGGCGCCGGCTGACGGCAAGCTGAGCGGCACCAAGGCCAAGACCTGGATGGTGGGTACCAAGCTCCCCAACTCCGTGCTGGGCCGCATCTGGAAGCTGAGTGATGTCGACCGCGACGGCATGCTGGACGACGAGGAGTTCGCCCTGGCCAGCCACCTCATCGAGGCCAAGCTCGAGGGCCACGGTCTGCCGACCAACCTGCCCCGCCGCCTGGTGCCACCTTCCAAGCGGCGCCACAAAGGCTCGGCCGAGTGAGCCAGCCCCCGCCCCACCCTTGCCTGCCCGTTCCTCCCTCTTGCCCTGCTGTGGCTCCCCAGCTCCGGATGGCTGCACACACATCTCCACCCCCGGCCCACAAGCGCGCTGCCTGCCCACTCTCCCAGCTGTAAGGATGGGGGTCCCACTGCCCCCATTCCCCACTGTCAGACAGTGGGGACCAGAGGAGGGGCAAGGCTTCTCTGCCCACCCTTCACACCTCTACCCTCACGTTACACTTAGCACATCATTCCACACTTAACACACAGAAGCACCCATCCGTGCCTCATTCATTCACGTATTTATTGAGCACCTTCTATGTTCAGGGCTCCTTCTAGACACTGGGGAGTAAAGCAGACACATTTATCTGCTGCTCTCATGGAGCTGACATTCTCAGGAGAGGGCACACCCCAGGGTCACTCACACTCAGACACACACCCAGCGCCAACCAGCCTGATCCCTGGATCTGAGCGAGACCCCTCGCCGATCCCCGTAAGTGAACCGCCGCTTGGTTGAAATGACTAGGGGCCCCACCGCCCCTCTTCCTCTTGCCCATCGGGGCAAGGCCCCTCCATCCCATCGGGTCCTCAGGCCTAGGGACCACGGGGGCTCAGAGCGGGGAGATGCAACCTCCTACTTCCTCCGCGGGGACCCCTCTCAGCCCCTCCCCCCAGTTCCGGCCACACCCCTTTCTTGACTAAGGATCCTCCGTGGACGAAAAGCCCCCTCCACGCCTGCTCCTCCCAGACCCGCGCACACTCCTGTCCTCCACAGCTCACCTGCTCTGGACTGAAAACCTGGCCTGCTACCCGCCCCCCGCAGCCCAGGCTCCCCACAACTGATGGTCTGCATTTCAGACAGCTGGGGGCACGGCCTCTCCGCCCATCGTCCATGTTTAAGTGGAGCTCCTGCCAGATAAGAAAGCCCCAGGATGTCATTTTAGTCCCCTTTTCAGGGACGTCGTGGGGGGAGGGGTTCTTGGTGCTACAGCCCTCCCTCCCCTCCCCTAGAAGGAACTCTCACCCCCCACTACACATATCTTTCCCTGCCTTCACCACATACTAATTAGTGCTTGACCCTGGTGGGGGACCCCACGGAAAAAGATGGGGCGAAGAGCGAAATAGATGGGGATGACGCCCCCTCCAGGGAGCTCGCTGGGATTTCCACGCCCATCACCCCTCACCCCGTGCCCCGGAGGGGACTGTGAACGGAATAGCGTTCCCACAGTGCAAATAAAGCCAAGGCTTCTTTCCCAGTGCGAGTCTGGCTGTCTAGAGATGGGATGAGGGCAGGGATCGCTCTCCGCCCAAACCCCCCGGGGAAGGAGGGCCCTGGGCGGGACTTCACGGCGCAGGGGCTGGGGGGAGGGGGTCCCCTCCAAGCTCTCAGGGGCGGAGGTGGAGGCCATGACTCAATGCATCGGGAGCCTGATGACTCAGGCCTGGGCTGGGGGCCAGGCCGACATATTTTCCGTAGAAAAGTTACTCTGGGACCCTCCCTCTGGGACATCCCTCCCTCCTACCTCCTGCCATGGGAGCCTGGGAACCAAGCCCTGGGGCGTAGGGTTGTGTGTGTGTGTGTGTGTGTGTGTGTGCGTGTGTGTGTGTGCGCGCGCGCGGGCGCACGCGTGTGTGCGCACCCCTGCCCTCCTTCTCCAACGTCCACCCACACAACCTGGGTACACAGTTCTTGACACGTAACACCAGCTGGCTCCTGGAGGAGAGGCGGTGATGCTGCCCATCAGGACCACCAAGTGTGCGCACGCGCTGGCTCACACCCGGGGGGCTCGGCCTCCGCAACGCAGCGGACCCAGCTCCTGGTTCCGCGAACTCACACCCAGGCCACACCCACGGCGCCCGGGGACACGCTGTCCTCGCGCCTTTCCCGCCCACGCGCGCCCAGTGGCTCGGCTCCTGGCGCCCCCTGGTGGACGCTCGAGAGCTAAGCTGGCGAGTCAGTGACCACACCCCCCCCTCTCACACTCCCCCCCCCCGCCCCCCCCGCCCAGTCCCAGGTGATGGGTAAACAGGTCTCCAGGGTCACAACCCGGGGGCCCGTCACCTTTCCCATGCCGGGTTCTGCGGTGTGGATCCCCGAGTGGCGTTTTCCCTCTCTGCCTTTATGAGGCTCTGGATCCCTATGGATGCTTGCCAGGGCCCCAGGGCCTCTGAGCTTCCTTCCTTATTTGTAAACAGACTAGATTTGTTAATTATAAGATGAAGTATCAAGGGGCAAGGCAGTAACAATAGCAAACGTTTAGCTCCATCTTAAGGGCTTTGTATATATTACCTTGCTTAATCTCCAGAATAACCTATGAGGCAGAGGAACCAGTATTCTGAGCCTGCTATTCTAGGGTTCTAATATTTTATGTTGCTAACATTTGGCGTACGGCATGCATAACGTTCTGAGGTCCCAACCTCGACTTCTGAAAGCTCTTCAATTTTCAAGATTCTAGGATTGGAACATTGACAGGTCAAACGTTCTGAGATTGGAATGTGCCTTGTCCTGAATCTGTCCTGACAGTTTTTTTTTTTTTTTTTTTTTTGCTGCACAGTAAGGCGTGTGGGGTATCTTAAGTTCCCCGCTACGTCCCGCAGTGGAAGCGCGGAGTCTTAACCACAGGCCAGCCAGGGAAGTCCCATCTAACTTTACTTTTTAAAGAAAACTACTTTTATTTTTTATTTTATTTTAAAACTAGACTTTTAAAAAATATTCAGCAAATTAAAACATTCAGATTAACAAAGTACTTCTAGGTTGTCGGGAAAAGTATTTCGCCTAGGGCTAGGACCCGGAACCTACCACCCGGGCCTGGCCCGAATCTGCAGAAGAGGAAGGAGCCATTTATCCTTTACCAAGATGGCAGCCTTCACGCCTCTTTGTGGCTCCAGCCACCCTACCAAGATGACGGTCAACGGAAGTGCGTCACGAGAAGGGGCAGGTTTTCGGCGCGCGCAGGCCCTAAACCGGAGTTCCGGGTGCCGGCGGCCTGGTTCTTTCTTTAACAAGATGGCGGCAGGAAGTAATGGTGGTAGTAGTGAGCAGTGCTCGAAAAGCGAGGCCGATTCCGGCTTCTTGGGGCTGCGGCCCACGTCAGTGGATCCAGCGCTGAGGAGGCGGCGGCGAGGCCCAAGAAATAAGAAGCGAGGCTGGCGGCGGCTCGCTCAAGAACCTCTGGGACTGGAGGTCGATCAGTTCTTGGAGGACGTGCGGTTGCAGGAGCGCACGAGCGGGTGCGTAGGCCCGGACTTCCGGCAGCAGGACCAGGCTGTGTGTGGAGGATTGGGAGGCCGTGCTGCCTGGGGGTAGTTCCGGCGGGCTGGGAGCGCCTGTTGGGGCACAGCCGAAGAAACCCAAGCAGGTGGGCCGGGGACTCTGGGCGAGAGGCTGGGAGACTTGATCAGGTTACGAGACTCCCAGGTAAACGTGGAATAGTTTTCCTGATGTCAGTGCGTCCAGTGACCCACCGTAGTTTAGTGCGTTTTACATATTAAATTCTGCAAATTGGACGGAGGGACCCTGGCCTGGAGGGGACTCCAGGCGGTTAGTGCGTGGTTGAATGACCATCCTAAGAAAACCTGGGCCTGAGAGGTTAAACCTGCTCCTTCCGCAGCCCCCTCCCATCTATGGCTGACATTCTGCATTTCCATCTCCCAGTGGCTTGATATCAGAGGCCCCCGATGAGAAACTTTTCTTCGTGGACACTGGCTTCAAGGATAAAGGTGAGGAAGGGTTTCAGTGGCGGTGTATGGCGATTAGTCGTTACCTAGGCCACCTTGGCCTCCAATAAACGGCGTTGCTTGGATGGCAAACACCATCAGAAAAGGGTCTCTGCTATAAACAAGAGGACCTGAAATGAGCAGAAAGCAAGCTAAGGACTAATCTAAGTAACTCATTTTCTTTCTGAAGTTTCAGAGAGATCTCAGTGCTTAGAAAAGAAGCCAGTAGGGATCTGCCTTGATGAGTAGATAGGACATAACTTAGGAGGTCTCCGTTAATTTGCAGAAAAGCAAACTAAGGACTTGTAAGGAGTCAGCCCTATTTTAGTAAGATGTGCTTTAATGAGAACAAAAGGATCAAATCAATGAGTTGGTAAGAAACTTGTTTTGGCTTGCTTGCTTTAACTTGTCAAAATACAGGGTTGGGACCTGCTAAAACAAATGGAGGAGAAGCAAGTTAGGGTTTGCATTAGTGAGTAATAGGGTTTACTCTCAATACCTAGAAAGATAACAAATAAGCGGCCTTCTTTAAGGAGAGGATAGAAAAGCTAAGAGATGCATTTTAATTTAAGTCACTAGCTTTAATAAGCAAAACAGCAGGTGGCTGTTACAGGAGGGTACCTTTTACGGGCAAGTATGAGATCAGTCAGGGGATCTGGTCTAAGGAAGATGAAGGGCCCTCTTTGGTGGGTGGGTGGAGTCTTTGAGCAGCTAAGAAAGGGTTATTAAAGAGGTTGGCTTTTACTGAAGGAAGGAGATTTGTTCTGTGAACTGAAGGGTCAGGCAGGGAGCGGCCTTGGTGAACAGGCAAGAAAGTAGTTACAGATTCTTAGTTGTTTTTTATTTTTTAAACAGTGACAGTGATTACATGCTTTCATGGGTGATCACTGCTGTGGGATGAAATGCACCGGACTCTTGAGCAGTACGGGGGTTCGGGGCACAGACCTTCCCACGTGCTCGGAGATTCGCATATAATTTGTAACCAACCATCTATTCTTGGTGTTACATCTGTGGATTCTTGTAGTATTTAGTATTGAAGCAGATCTGGGTATGAATTCAAATCCGTGTTGTTCCGTGGTCAGCTGTAATCATATCTTCACCTGACCTCCAGGGTAGGCATTAAACAATCTTGTTTTGGCTGCATAGGAGCAAAGTCACTTTCTTGAGGTTTCGTAGCAAATGGAAGGATACAGATTCTGTCCCAGTATGTTTTGCCCTGGAGTTCTTCTTATGTTTTAGAAGTAAAGGCGGGAAATTACCCTGTGCTGAGAATCAGTGGTCTTGGGTCCATCCTGAGTCCAGCTCCCTGGGCCTCATGTGACCTCGTCACTCGCTTTATTTTTAGTGTTAAAGTTTCTGTGGCCACTTTCCTGCTGCCTCAGGAAGCCCCTTGTCTGCAGGGCTGTGGATCTGGGTCCCCAGCACAGGGCTGCCTCCAGCTGGCCCAGGAAATGGGTGTGGTGGGTGGTCACAGCTCGGGCCCCTTGGGCTCTGCCCTTGGGGGCCTCTTTCCTCAGGTGGAAGCCTGGGGCCTGCAGGTCTGATGGCTCCAGTGGGCGATGGGGGAGGTGGGGTGGGAAGGGCAGGAAGTCCCTCTTGGGTAGTGAGGAGGCCTGAAGTGTTGACTCTCTGCCACCCCTAGAGCTGAACAGGAAGAGGACCAAAAGCCAGAAGAGGTCACTGCTTCTCAAGAAGCCCCTCCGGAGCGACCTCATCCTAGAGAACACCTCCAAGGTCCCTGCTCCCAAAGAGTGAGTGTCCCCTGACCCCCCAGACCCTCCTCCCCTCCCCCACCGCCCCCAGGTCTGGCCCCGTGCCTGTCTGTGGGGCTCCCACTCACTTCTTGGCCCTGAAGGAAGTCTAGGGAAAGAGGGTGACAGGTGAAGGGTGCTGGTGGGGAAGATGGGGTTGGATTAGGGGCTTTGGAGGACAGACTGGAGGCAGCGAGGCTGGGGCTGGGCTGGGGCAGGCAAAGAAGAGCCTAGACCTTCCCGAGGGCTTTGGGGCCGGAGGGCAGGGCTGGGCGGGCGCCCCAGTCAGGAGCAGGGCCGGCCGGGCTTAGTGACTGACCCTGAAGGAGTGGAGGGGGCTGGGGGAGTGATGGGGTGGGCGATGGAGGGAGGCTGCGGTTGGCTTTGAAGCACCGTGTGAGGCCCCTGGGGACATGCCGGGTGAGGGCCCCGGGTCTGGAGCTCAGCAGGGAGACAGGTGTGGGAGGCGGGCTCTGAAACTGCTGGACCACGTGAGGAGTGGGAGGGGCCTGAGGAGGCCCCTCAAGGAGGGAGGGAACACTGGGGGTGTCCGAGGGGCAGAGACCGATTCACCCACCGCTCCGTGCCGCTTCTCCCCCACCCAGCGTCCTCGCCCACCAGGTTCCCAACGCCAGGAAGCTTAAGCGGAAGGAGCAGCTATGGGAGAGGCTGGCGAAGCAGGGCAAGCTGCCCGGGGAGGTACGCAGGGCGCAGGCCCGGCTCCTCAACCCGCCAGCGGCCAGAGCCAAGCCTGGGCCCCAGGACACTGTGCAGCGGCCCTTCTACGACCTCTGGGCCAAAGGCAGTGAGTGTCCCTGCGCCAGGACCAGCGCTTTGGGTTGGGCAGTGATCTCGGGGGGCCCTGCGGGTGTCACTGAGGGTCTTCGGCACAGTCTGGTGTGTTGAAGTGGCTCCCTGTCCTCCTTCCTGCTCTGCTTTCCAGAACGGGCTGATGCCTGTCCCTCGGCCTTGGGTCTTTTCTGCTTTCTGGACCCCGTCCATGTGCTCTCTTCCCTGGTGTTCGAAGCCCTTTGGGGTCTGAGAATCAGTCCTTCCTCGGCTATCTCTGCATAAGTACTTTGGTGCCGTCTGTCTGAAGGGAGGAGGACTAGGAGGGAGCCCCTGGGGGCCACGGTGTTGTCCCAGCAGCCGCCCCTACTGCCTCCACAGACCCTCTGGACCAGCCCTTGGAGGGCCAGGATGAGTTTTTCCTGGAGCAGACCAAGAAGAAAGGCGTGAAGGTGAGCGTTCATCAGCAGGGTGTCCTCGGAGCTAGGGATCAGAGGATGGGGCCATAGAGATGCCGTGTGAGAGCCCCAGCATCCTGGGACCATGAACGCACAGGCTGGAGCCAGGCCGCAAGTCCACTGCCTCTGAGGGAGGTAGCAGGGTGGTGGGACGCTTTTTAGGGAGACCATCCCAGGGAAATAAGATGCTGCATGCGAATGGGTTGGAGTCTTGGGGTAGCTAGGGAGCCTTTGGAGATGGAAGGGCGGAGCCTCCCGGTGAGGGTAGGCCCGTGGGGCTAGCTGGCGGGGAGGAGAAGCCCAGTTCAGGTTGGGAGCTTTATCTCAAGTGTTTCTGCACAGGAGAGCGGCGGTGTCATGGGGCACTGTGCGGAGGTGGGGTTGTGGTGGGGCAGGCACCCTGGCGTGGAGAGGAATGAGGGGTGACCCAGGAGAAGTGCTCAGGCAGAAGCACCCAGCCTGGCGGGCAGTGGGGGCTGGGGAGGGGCAGCCTGGTGACCCCCAGGCTTTCGCTGGGGTGGGAGCCAGCTGAGCAGGGAAACGGGGGTCTGGCTGGGGAGGTTCTGCTCAGAGCTGAGCCGGTGCTCGGGTCCCCCGGGCCTGTTAGAATGTTAGAGTGCCGTTCCCCTGGGTAGGTTTCAGCTGAGCCGGAACCATATGCCTTCGTCCCCGGCTCCCGGGGGCCTGCTCTGAGGGTCTGTCGGCTCTTGGTCGGCTGTGCCCTTTGCTGACAGGGCCCCTCGTGCCTCTGCCCGCACGGCTGCCGACTTCAGTGGCGGCCTGGTGACTGCCGCACGACTTTGCAAGTGTCCCCTACCACTTGGACGGCAGGGACTTCTCAGGGAAGGCGAGCAGAGCCCCTGCTTGTCCTGGGGGCCCTGTACCCGGGGTGCCAGCCCTTCCCTGCATCATTCAGATGCCACAGGCCCCTCCCAGCTTGAAGGCCGTGGGCTGTGCTGAGGCCTCCGCTGCCTCCCGGACCCGCGGTCCCAGCACTGGTGCCTGCGGGAGCTTGATTCGTGGGACTCCCGGGTCTCACCCGGCCTTGGTCTTGTCTTCCTCCAGCGGCCGCAGCATCTGCACACCAAGCCCTCCCAGGCGCCTGCTGTGGAGGTGACGCCCGCGGGAGCCTCGTACAACCCAACCTTTGAGGACCACCAGGTACACGGGCTACCCCGCCACGCCTCTCCTTGGTCGGCGCTTGGCCAGTGGGTCAGCATGTCCTCCCAGGGCTCACAGTTCTGTCGGGCAGACAGACCTGTTCCTGGACTATGATGTCCCACAGTGGCCAGGGCTGGGGTGTGGGGGCACGGAGGGAGCATCAGATCCAGCCTTGGGAATCAGGGAGGGCTTCCTGATGGAGGGGGCATCAGCACTGAGGCTGGGGGCAGTTTGCTGTGGTAAGAGAGGATGGCGCGTTCCAGAGAGAGGGAGCAGCGTGTGTGAGAGCCCAGAGGTGTGGGAGACCGTGGTACCTTTCAGACATAAACACAAGAAGCCTTCAACTGTTAGCAACAAACCATGTGACCGGATGAGTCTTGTGGACTGGCAAAGGTAGTTTAGTGACAGGAGAAGCTGGTTGTGAGAGTCACTGTGTGTTTCACAGGTGTCTGTTAGGCACAGGTGTCACGGGCCAAGAGGACAATCCCCTGCCCTCGGGGAGCACAGATTTCCCAAGAGAAACCCAGGTCACCAGTGGACACTGGTGCTCCGTGAATGCCGTCCAGGGTCGTTTACTGGGAGATGGGTTCCTAGCCAGTGGGACGGGAGCTGCGGCCCTCACCTGGGGAGTGGGGTCTCTGGGAGCAAACCCGTGCTGAACTTGCAGAGGATGAGGCTGCTCGCTAAGGCTGTTACTCATGGAGAGGTCGGATAGTCTTTGTCTTTTTGTTTTTTTTTTTCCTTTCTTTCTTTCTTTTTAAGTCTTTGTCTTTTTAAAAAAAAAATTGAGATCTGGTTCCCAGGCCGTTGCGATTTGCCCGCTTAGAGGGCACAGTTCAGTGGTGTGAGGTATATCCAGAGTTGCGCAGCCGTCGCGCAGTCAGTTTTATGTCATTTTCCTCACCCCGGAAAGAAGTCTCATGCCAGTCAGCTGTCACCCCCGCAGTGCCCCATCTTCCTTGGCCTTGGACAGCCCCCGCTCCGCCCTGTCTTAGGAGTTTCCGTGTACTGGGGGCTTCATGGGTGTGCATCCTAGCAGTTTATAAAGAGCACACCGTCCTTGAAGAGAACGGGCAGAGCAGGCGTGAGGTTAAGGATTCGAAGCCCCTTGGATGCTGTGGGGAGGCCAGGGTGAGGAGGCGGGTCGGAGCCAGTGCAGGGGGCTGGGTACCAGGGTGGGGGTGCAGGTGGGAGATGGGAGGGCCAGGTCTGTGATTTGGGGAGAGGCCCCCTGGGTCTGGGTCTTCACCCGCGTCCCCGCCCCCTCCCAGAACCTGCTTTGGGCGGCCCACGAGGTGGAGCTGCAGCGGGAGAAGGCGGCTGAGAAGCTGGAGCGGCAGCTGGCCCTGCCGGCCTCGGAGCAGGCCGCCACCCAGGTGAGCGTAGACCCGCCAGCAGCCCGCCTGCCCCGCCCGCTGGCCCCCTGGCCCCCTGCTCAGCTCCTGACCCGCCCCCCTCCCCAGGAGTCTGCCTTCCGGGAGATGTGCCAGGGGCTGCTAGAGGAGTCCGACGGGGAGGGCGAGCCGGGCGAGGGCCAGGACGAGGGGCCGGAGGCTGGAGACCCGGCCGCAAGAGCAGAGGCCTCGCCCACACCCGGCCGCCCGGCTGCCCTGGAGAAGAAGACAGAGCAGCAGCGGCGGCGGGAGAAGGCTGCCCGGATGCTGGTGAGCACCACGGGCCCCGGCCTGCTTCTCCCAGGCTCACAGTCTGTCTTTTGGGGCTGTTTGGGGTCCCTGAAGCCACTTGGTCAGCGGAGGACTAGTTCCCAACCTCCTCTCGGAGGACACAGTGGGGAACATTCTAGGTCAAGCCCCTGCCCCCGTGGGGCTGATGTTTAGGGTGCAGCTGGGGAAGGGTGTGTGAACCGTAGAGACAAATGGGCCAGGATCACGAAGGTGGGCTCAGGGAACAGTCACCGTGGAGACAGGCCTGTGACATGGCAATGGGTGGCCAGGGCGGGCGGCGTCTGGCCGGGCCCCTGACCCCGCTGTCCCCGCAGAGGACGCAGCAGGCCGCGGTGCGGGCCGCCCGCCTCCGGCACCAGGAGCTCTTCAGGCTGCGCGGGATCAAGGCGCAGGTGGCGCGGCGCCTGGCGGAGCTGGCCCAGCGGCGGGAGCGGCGGCAGGCAAAGCGGCTGGCGGAGGCGGACAAGCCGCGGCGGCTAGGGCGGCTCAAGTGAGGCCCGGCCCGGGGGCTCCCTGGGAGGCTGGGAGGGGTCCTCACCCCTTGGCAGGTGCCTTCCTACTTTTGCTCAGCCTGGGCTCCTCCCGGGAGACCCTCTTTCCCCAAAGCCCCAGGTTCTATAACCCTCACTGCTGGGCCTGCTGTTCCTGGGAGCAGCCTCAGGCCCTGCTGACCTCCTCGACATCCTGCCCCGTGTTCTCCAGGTATCAGGACCCCGACATCGACGTGCAGCTCAGCTCGGAGCTCTCTGACTCGCTCAGGACTCTGAAGGTACTTGTCTGGCTAGAGTGCTGGAGGGGAGACGCCCGTGCCCGGTGATGATACCCATCCTTGCTCCCCGTGTCCGCCAGGACTGTGGGCGACATCACGGCTGCCCCAGGCGGGGCCAGTTGGGCTATTGCCTGGGGGCTGAGGGCGCGGGGTCCCCCAGGATGATGGGCTGGGCGATGTGATGGTTGGAGCCTGGGATCCTCAGAAGGTCTTTCCTCCTGGGCTGTCCCTGGTCCCCCAGCCCCACCCTCCGTGTCTTCGGCCCCAGAGGGGTCTCTCTAAAGCTCAGAGCAGAGCCTGTTCTTTCTTCGTTCAGAAGCTGCTGTGGCTCTCTGGTGCCCCCCCCCGGCCCCGGGAAGCCCACCTGCCCACAAGGCCACGGGCCCTGTGTGGTCCTGCCGGACCCGCCCGTTCCTACTTCTCCAGCCGCCTCTTCAGGGCTGGTCCTCGGGTCAGTACCTGTCACCCCATGAGCTCAGGAGCAGGCCGAGTCCCTGGTGTACACGAGGCCAGACTGGGTGCCTTGGCTCACGGGGGGACTGCAAGACTGACCCCCATGGAGAGGTCAGGGCCCGAGGGTTTCTGCCAGGCGCCCACTGAGGCCTCTCCGTGTCCCGCAGCCCGAGGGCAACATCCTCCGTGACCGGTTCAAGAGCTTCCAGAGGAGGAACATGATCGAGCCTCGGGAGCGAGCCAAGTAAGGGCCGGCGCCACGGTGGGGGCGGGCCTCCGGGACCTTCCAGCGAGGGATGGGCTGGTGGTTGGCTGACTGCTGTCTCCTCCCTCCTCCAGGTTCAAGCGCAAGTACAAAGTGAAACTGGTGGAGAAGCGGGCGTTCCGAGAGATCCAGTGAGTGGCTCCCCCTCTCCCCAAGGGTCTCCAGCCAGTCCCAGGGCCCATCCGAGACCCAGTCGCTGTGGCCGGGGGTGGAGCAATGCTGCCTTGGCCAAGCCCAGGAGAGGCTCGACCCGCCAGAGCCACCGGATCCCAGGGTCGGGCCAGGGAGGGCGCCCCAGGGGACGTGGGAGGGCCCACACTGGAAGAAGGGTGTCACGTGGACAAGGGTGTCGGGCCCCCTCCCCTGGCCCTCCCTCAGCCTCGCCTCTGTCCCCAGGTTGTAGCTGCCAAGAGACGCCGGAGCCCCCATCCCCCAATAAAGCACCTTCTGACCAACACCTTGGGCCTCGCTGCGTGTGACTCATGACTCGTCTCCTTCCTGGGGGCAGCTGTCCCCCTGCCCGCCCCGTTTACCACACAGGGATGTGGGTGCCGGGACCCTCGTCTCCACTGGGGCCTGGTGGGAAGCTAGGGCGGGGCCCGGCTGGCAGAGGCAAGGACAGAGGAGGCAGGCCTGCGGTGTGGGCTGCTGCGCTTGGGTTTCTGACTCGGGGCGTGGCCATCCAGTGGTGGGGAGGCAGACCTTGAGGGCAACCCCATCACACAGGCTGGAGCAGCAGCTGACGTTTGCCACCTGCCTGTCCCGCCTTGTCCAGCCACCAGTCAGGAGGGCAGGAATGATCTGTCCTTTTAAAAGTGGGGAAACTGATGGGCATCAGTAGGGGTTAATCCTCTCACCTTCCCCGCGCCCACCCCCACCGTAAAGGACTTTTTCACATCTATTCTACAAGTAGTAAAGCGTTGTGGTCTCACTGTAAGTCGTCACTGTGTTTCATAAATGTACCAGAGAAAGGGTGAATTTTCGCCCTTGACCTTTGCTCTCCATTCCAAACCCCTTCTTTGCACAGGTAGCTAGCTGTCTCTGCAGTTTGCTGTGAATGGCTCCATCATGTACCCTGTGTGAGTCTATTTAATTATGTACAGGGGCATCAGAAAGTAGAAGTTATTTCATTTTTCGGCATTTTGGATAGGATCACATTATGTGGTTCTATAATTTGCCCTATACGTATGTTGGGGAATTTTTTTCTGCATCTGTGTAGGCTGTATCTTTAGTCTTTCACAGCTGCATAGAATTTCACTCACCCAGCCCCATATCACTCCTGGTGAAGCTGGAAGGGGATATCTGTGTACCTGTGCCATTTCAAATGAGCTTATAGGATAAGTACCTGCAAGTGGATCTCTGGGCTACAGGGATAGTACCTAAAGGGTCGTTTGGATTCAGCCAAATTGCTGTGCGTGGGCTGTGCTGAAGTTTGCCCTCCAACAGCCGAGGAGCCCCCTTGATTGCTCATAGCTCCACTACTGCATGCTCTCATGAATTTTCAGTTTATTGTGATTACCAGTGAGGTTGAGCATCTTTTCAAATGATCACTGGCAGTTTCTTCCATGTCTCTCCAAACCTTTGGATTGTTTTCCTTTTGGACTGTTGTTTATTTGTAGTTAGCTGCTTGTTTATTATGGATCTGAAGACTATCATACATGTTACAGACATTTCTCCCAGGCTCTTCATTTTGACATGCATGGTATCTTGCCAGAAATGTTTATTGCTTTTTAGTTTTCCTTTAGTCTTCCTCTCTTGTTTTTTTTTTTTTTTTAACCACAGTTTTAAGGCAGGTTGCTCCAGGACAAGATGCTTATAACAATAGAGCAGGCAACTTATAAAACAAATGGCTGAAGGGAGAGACTAACGTCAGAGCCTCCTCCTTCCCCCCACATCACGATTTAAGGGGCTGTTTCTGCTGTTCCTCCCCTTCTGCCATCTTAAAAATAGAAAAGACTGTTGTACAGACAAGAAAACAACTCTTATGTGTATATGCAGTAGGGGTCAGAAGAGGGTAAGTTGGAGTGAAAGCAAAAGCCACGTCTAGTAAAGCCTTAAGCCGCCCCAGCCTTTTGACCCAGTAAGTCTATCCTGGGGAGGGAGTCTGAAGGAAGCTAAACTGCTGGAAGAAGGGAGGAGGTTAATGTCCATGGATGGCCAGCAGAGTGTCTGCCAGATACTGGGACGCCTGGGGTGGGGTGGTCCCAGCTACCCCTGAGCAAGTGCTGAGTCCTCGGGAAGCGCTGTTTAATGGCGCTGGGGAATATGTGTGTTCCTGTGCAAAAAAAACAACCAGGGTCGGCCACGAAGACATTTGTGGGTTTTCCTGCACGAGAATTACTTGTTCACTTCTGGTTTTTACATTAAAAGAAAAGAAAATGCTGAACTCCAGTTCAATGATTTGCAAGCTGCAGTGACATCCCCGTGATCTGCAACTCCTTTTGAAAAGAATAAAATAGTAAAGGGGAGTGGGGGCAGATCAGGGAGGGATAGATACCTAGATGCGATATCAGACAAGCTCAGGGAAATGTGATGGTAGAATCTAGGTGGCAGTCCCAGGAAAACTCGCTTGCCTTTACTGTCTGAAAATCTTCCTAATAATTACTGGGAAAAAATACATTAGGATTTAGCATGATGCTGGTGAAGCTTAGGTTCAAGGCCAATTACTTGCACTAGTCCCTTTCAAGGTCCTACACCTCCTTTTGAACTTGTAACTTGCTATTTTTCCTACAGTGAGTCCCCCCAATTGTAAAAAGCTTCCAGCACCACAGAACCTATATCTGCCTGATTGTGGTATAAAAAGAATTCACCCACCAGCTGGGTGATGACTGAATGAACGATAGTACCCTGATAATGCAGAGGGACCATGAGTTGGCCTTCTAAAGCTTTAGCTACTAGGGGCTTCTCTCCATCCTTTGCCACTACTGTACTGGTGGTTCTGTAGGTTAGATTCCGCGCTGCCAGTGCAGGGGCCGTGGTTTCGATCCCGGGTCAGGGAACTAGATCCCACATGCTACAGTTTGCATGCTGCAACTAAGACCCAGTGTGGCAAAAAAAAAAAAAAAGCCAATCCACCTGTAGGCAGCAGCCTTAAATTGTGGTTAGGAGGGTGGACTTGGGAGCCAGCTTCTGATTTCAAATCCCAGCTCCATTACCTACTAGCTGTGTGATCTCATGAAGGTTACTCCACCTCTTTGTGCTGAGTCCCTGTCTGCAAGTATGGGTCATTCCAAGGATGGAATCTGTACATAAGAGTGCTTAGAGAAAGGGCCTGGGACAGAGTAAGCCCTAGAGGAGTCTTGGTTATTATAATAATTGTTAGGGAAAACGAAAATGGTTGGGGAAAAAAAAAAAGTATGGAAACTTGTAACTGTGCCAAAGACTCCTCATACATGTTCTTACCTTTTGACCCACTGATTGCACTCTTGGGAACATGCCCGAAGGAAACAACCGGAAATTTTGGGGAAAAAACATAATGTAGAGACAGGTTGGTCAGAGGGCTGTGCAGAATGGAAGGAAGCGTGGTGATGGCTGTGGGGCGGGTGGGCCCCTCGGGGGAGGGAGGCCGTCACCCAGGGTCGGAAGTGTGCCTGATAACCGGAATGCGCTTGTGTTCTGCTCTTTGTGGAATAAAGCAAACAGGATCTGCCCGCATCCACGCTGTGGTTCACTGAACTAACCCCAGAGTCTCTTGGGGGACTCTCTTGGGGGAATTCCAGGAGATTCTTTTTCCTTCTTAAGACTTTTTCCAGCTTTTCCACATTTTTTTTTTTCAAAAGGAATTCAGATTGTGGACAAAGATGCCTCGATGGATGTAAAGATGTCAGCCATTGTGCTGTTTGGAAGACTGGAAACAAACAGTTGAAATTAGAAACTGACTCCAAATATAGACAATAGAAATGGGTCTTTACAAGTCGGATGTCTACACAATAGGATATTTCATCACCATTTAAGAGAACACCATCTTTGGGGAGAATTTTTTGGGAAAGGGAAGAATTTTTAATGATCAGGGGAATACACTTAAGGTCTAAGAGAACTGTTAAAATAGGGAAAGGAAACCGTATGACTCTGACCAGTTTATTTTTTACAATATTTTTATTTAGCTGCACAGGGTCTTAGTTGCGGCATGTGGGATCTAGTTCCCTAACCAGGGTTGGAACCGGGGCCCCCTGCATTGGAGAGCAGAGTCTTAGACCACCAGGGAAGCCTTCCTAATTCTTCTAAGGGTAAAGGTTAGATTAGGGTGTGTTTTAAGTTAAAACACATAACTCCCATCGCCATTCTTTCCTGTAAGAAATGACGACTTTCCTGTAAGAAAAGATCATTGTTTAAAAAAGAGTATCTGTGAATGTACCAAATGCCACTGAATCCTACAGCCTAAGATGGTTAATTTTATGTGATGTGAATTTAACCTCGATTTTTTAAAAAAGGAAAAAACCCCACAACCGCTCCCCCCCCCCCGCAAAAGAAGAAAAAAAAAACCTCTGAAGAGGCAGTGTGTCGGTCGTGTTCCGGGAAAAGCAAGGAGCGCAGTGTAGTTGGAGGGTCGTGAGGAGGGTGTAAGATCAGAAGATGAGCGGGAGTCGGAACATCAGTCTCTGTGCTCCACGACGCTGACTGTGGGTGATGAAGCCACGCGTGAGCGGCCGCTGGTGCGGACCGGCGCCCCCTGGCGGCCGTGTGGGGAACAGACTGAAGGAAAAAAGCAAGGCCTCCCTGGGTCCCGCCCGGAGGTTGTGGCCGCTCCATCAGCGCCAGCAGGTCGGGGTGCAGAGGGGTGGGTGCATCCAGGATACATTTTGAGAGTGAAGCCACCATCAATGGCTGACCTACAAAGAAAAAACCAATGGGCTCCAAGTTATTTTGCCTGGTCTGGAGTTGTCATTTCAAGATGGGAGCAGACGGGACAAAGAGGTGCCCAGAGGTGGGGTGGGCGAATCAGGAGTTCAGATTGCTAGTGCCCGTTCGACGCCCAATTGGCTGTGTCGAGTAGGCAGTTGGATGTAAAAAACCTAGCATTCAGGGGCTAGCAATACGCATTTGGAATCTGCATTAATTATATCCCATACCCGTGAAAAATGCCCAACCTCTCCCCACTTAGTGCTGTGCTGTGTCGCTCAGTCGTGTCCGA